TCGGCTGGTATTCGTATTCACCCCTTAATCCAAAATTGCACGTGTTAATATATTTTTTTTTAATTTTTGGTAATTTTTTTAAGGGGCGTTAAAAGCATTTTATTTTTGAAACAAATATACATACATATGTAGGTATATTAGCACGAAATATTTTTTGGTCAAATAATTAAATTGCATGTGGCTAAATCGATGGCTTTTTATAACAAATAAGCTTGCCCAGCAGTTTTGCAAAAAAAATATTGCGAAAATTATAATTAATTGAATTTTGAGGTATTAACCGATTTTGACGGAACCGGGCTTAAATGAAAGATAATTAATTACTGTCTGTCCACTCTAAGTTGGCGGAACTAAGGAATTTTGTAGTTTAGATATTAAAGAATTGTCGTACTGTGTGCTTTTAAAACAGATTTTATATTATAAATAATACTAGTACATATTATATACTAGTATTATTTATAATATAAAATCTGTTTTAAAAGCACACAGTACGACAATTCTTTAATATCTAAACAACAAAATTCATTAGTTCAGCCAACTTAGAGTGGACAGACAGTAGTCTATTAATTAATAATTGTTTATGCCATCAGGCTGAAAAGTGGGTCTTATTGTGCTGAGCTCTAAGTTTGAATTGAGCAAAGCACAAAAAAGACGTCTCAGCCGAATGACATACAACATTTTTTCTTCAGGGCACAGTTTTATTTATTAAACGATACATAAAACGTACCTTAAATTATAATAACAATTATTAAAAGTATAAAGTAAGATTGGCTAGCACAAAGCTGTTCAGTTATTGAATTTAATGAGAGTTTTTACAGACTAGGATGTAAAAATCTTTAGCTTAAATTATGGAACGCCTGAAGGTAAAATAAATTTTTAATTATATTCTGGATGCACAGTTTGGTTTATTTACAAAGCTTATACAGGGTGGATTCTAAAATTGTGGTCAATCCTTTTACAAAAATCAATATTCTTGAAAAATCAAAATAAAGAACATGCAGTTCAATTTTTAAACCGTAATAAGTCAAAAACCCCTACAGAGTAAGGAATAATTACAGACTTTATTGTTTTAATTAAAATTGCCGTCACCTTGAGAAGTGGTAAAAATGCCACTCGCATTTTACCCCAAAATCAATTTATTGGAACAATGGATTTGTAAAATTAAACTTTATTTTGTGCTGAGCAGCACAGCCGTCGTTAAATCATACCCATACCCATAATATAACAAGTGATATGATTATCATAGATGATATTTCGAATTAAAACCAAGCTGCAGATTTCACGATCTCGCAGATGCTGCTTGGGTTTTAATGAGTAAATATCATCTATTATTAATCATACAACGCCTCGTGTTATATTTAGCGAGAAAATATAATAAATTTTTTCTCCTCCCACCTTTAAAATGCCCATTATTGTACCTTTAGGTTACAGTTAGTTTTAAGTTAGTTGACAGTTGCTCAATAAATAAAGTGCCCTTCTTGTAAAATAATACTAAATGTAAAAATTAAAAAATATTGTCGCTGTGATAAAATGCGTAACTGATGGTTATTGGTTCTAATATTAATTAATTGTATACAATATATAAAATATATTGTCATCCATAATATAACAAGTGGTATGATTATCATCGATGATATTTTCGTAAGTAATATCATAAGGGCATCTAATTTTTCCGAAAAAAAATCGAAAAAACACGTTGCTAAGTAATATTTTAACAAAAAGCATGAGTGCTGGTGGCAACAAAAATCCGAGTCGAAGAGGAGGATTTTTGCACCTAAACGCATGCATTTTGTTCAAAAATATTACTTAGCATTGTGTTTTTTCGATTTTTTTCACAGGAAAAATTAGATGCCCGAATGGTATTTGACAAGACTTTTTCATGAGTAACAGTTAACAATTAAAATATAAATTGCAATTTTTGGTGACAACAGCTGTCAAGTTTTGCCGCGGGTAAACTCGAAAAAACTGCTGACAGGTGCTGTCACACAGTTTTTTCACCTAGAAACCATTTGTAATTCAAAATTGCGCGTTTGTGATTGGTGGAAATTAAGACGAGGGAAATAGTCGAATTGAAACCGAGCTGTGCTGCTTCGGTTTCAATGAGTAAATATCATCGATAATTAATCATACCACGAGTTATATTTAGTGACAAAATATAATGAATTTTAGGATTTAACGAATTGTCAATTTGACATTTAAAATTAAAATGTGCTTTAAAATATAAAAAGACTTTAATAAACCTTATTTATTCAAACTTACCTTAATTTTATTATCGTTTACACGAACCCATCGATCTTCTAGAGTTTATAATTCATTATTTTAATCATTTAACAAACACAGTATTTAAATGTCAACAAATGTCAAATCAAGAAAAGTGTCGAAATTCTTACCAACGTGTAAACAAGGTGATAAAAAATATTGTCGCTGTGATAAAATGCGTAACTATGGAATGCTGGCATTTTATTGGTTCTAATTATAATGAATGTATTGTCGCTGTAATAAAATGCGTTACTATGGCATTTTATTAGTTCTAATACTAAGGAATTGTATCATCGTATTTTCCCAAAATTTTATTCCAAAACAACAATTTTGTATTTAATTTATCTCTCAATTAATGAATTATAATTTGATATTTTAATGAATTTTTCACACAAACCTTGTGGCTTCCGCTAACGACACTAGTCAAAACTTGGTGAATTTTTACAAACTTATTTTAATATCTGAATTGTCCATGCAAGTCCTTAGTTGCAGTAATCTCTCTTACACGCCTACTTTTAGGTCATCTCTTCCTGGCAAATTCGTCCCACTCGTAGAATTTCTGGATTTGTGTAACACGTCACTGTACTGGCCAGTTTTTTTTTTGAGAGATGTGATTGATTCAAATCCCGATGATTAACGCAGTTTCTGCCATGCGTGTAACGTATAATTTTCTTTTTAGTTTTGCGGCCGACCTTTCTCTAGGTGCAGATGCGAGTGCAGCTGTAAGAATCTGTATTTTTGCCTTTCTATTCGTTACCCGAAGGCATAATAGCATAAGGCAATTTACATTTCTGCTGATAAATTATCAATTATAAATTATCGGCAGTCGAATCTTTTTACGTAGATTTTAACAATATTTTATTCGATTTAGGTTCAGAAGCGAAACCTTAAGAAGCAGGTTTACGCACTCGTTTTATAAAGCAGTCTGCGATTTTCATACAATTTTGTAGTTCAACTGTTAAAGTTACTTAAATTTAAGATTGGGTTTGGCATTAAACGTCAAAAGAATATTGTTTCTTATCTGTAATTATTACCTACGAATACAGGGATAAGCGTAAGGGATTCTTGAGCTATAGTTAGGGTTTAAAAATTTAATTTTCTTTATTTTGATTTTTGAAGAATACTTATTTATTTTGTAACCTTAATTCGAGGACTAGGCGTATATATATATTATATATTAAGTTTTTATACACGAATTTAATTTGGGCACGAGCGAGCTTGCGAGCGAGTGCTTAAATTAATGAGTGTATAGAAAAGTTTATAAACGAGGTGCATACTATACTTTTTCTACGACAAATACTTATTATTATCTAAAAATGATTTAAATCAAAAATTTCTATAGAGCGCCATCTATGAAACAATAGGGGAATCTGTGTGTCACCGTCAAATGTCACCTTTTTAAATTTTATAAACACAGATTATAAAGGTTATAAATAGAAATGTATTTCTTGAAAATTTTCACAGTAAAGGTAAAGAAAATGTTTTATAAGGACTTTACAGTGGAGTCCGTGCCCGAATTTAAGTTATAGTTTACTTCCGGCGAAATTAAAAGGTCAGTACAATGTTCATATAAACTTTTCAAATATTTGCGTTGAGAAACTATTTACTACTTTTGTATTGTTGTATTGAGATAATAAAATAATTTTCACATTTAGTATTATTTTACAAGAAAGGCACCTTATTTTAACGATTGTATGACATTTGACAACTGTCAACTAACTTAAAACTAACTTCAGCCCGTGACTAAAGCGCCATAAAGCCACAACTTGTCAATGTGTATTTAAAAGGTCACTTAGTGTCATGGAAACATGTACGATAAAGGGCGTTTTAAAAATGGTAGTAGAAAAAATAATTTAAGTTGAAGAGTTGAATAAATGTAATTAATGGAAGTTAAATATATTACCAAGACAAAAATATACATAAAAAGGTTTTTATTTGCCTTTTACAAACATTTAAATAACAGAACACGTGTTCGCATATATGGGTAGTCTTTTCACCTTATAATAAACAAAAGGTATAACCTGTCTGCCATTCTGTATACTACTACCTCTTACGGTTGTTCTTTAAATTTATTCAGTTGAGGACGCATTAACCAAAGAACGTCATAAAAAACTGATCCATACAAACTTGAACCATTTAAAAAGATTATAAGTGTTTTACAAAAAAACACGATTAAAACCAGCCCTCAACGATTACACAGGCCCACAAAAAAAGTGGAATAAACTTTACATGTAAGTATACTACCCCTATGGTTTTGATCCGTTGAATCCGAATCCGGTCTCAGAATTTCCCCTGTACCCCCCAGTTTTCCCCTAGCCTAGGGGAAATGCGCGAAATCTTAGAAATTTCAGTATCTGTGAAAGCAAGTGCCTATTTTTTTCAGATTTTTGCGATGCCCAGAACATAATTAAGAATTGATTTTTTTTATAAATCGTTGGTATAAAAAAAATAAAAATTTTATTTAACAATTTAATCTACTAATATTTCATTTAAGCCCGGTTCCGTCGAAATCGGTTGATACATTTAAATGTTATGGAACCTTTTTGTAAAGTTACCTCAAAATTCAATTGTTTATAAATTTCGCAAATCCTATTTTCTTGCAAAACTGCTTGGCAGGCTTATTTGTATCATAAAAAGCTAGTGATTTAGCCACGTGCAATTTAATTTTTTGAACAAAAAATGATTTCACTAATTCTTGTCCATATACAATTTTAAAAAATATATAATATTGTTATTTTTTACAGGCAATTGCAGTAGCTTGCTTTGGCCTTCACTACCAAAGTAACCTGAAATTATATTCTGAGGATACCATTTCTGCCGTAGCTTTCGGAGGATACATCATTATTTTATGTGGAGGTTTTGCAGGTATGAAAAAAAATTCTATTTACCCAGACAGACAAGTATCAAAATAAATTTTAGCCAATCTTAAATTTTGGTTATTTTTAGGGATATGATATAAGCCGTAAGTGACTATCTTAATTGTGTAAATTGATATTTGCTCAATATTAACATAACACAAATCTTTCCAATTAAATAATAAATCCCTTCCTAAATTACCTTGATCTGGGATCACAGAAATTATACGGCGAATGTATAAAAACATAACATTGTTATGTTATTATGAGTAACGTCGCGAGCGCCACTCCGTATACAGGACAGTACTGCACGTTCGGATTTTATTAAATTATAAAAAAAATTGTATCTAGAGTAGGTAGATATCTAAGATATGTTACATACTGTATGTATAACTTCATTCAAAAATAGGCACCTCATTAATGTCGAGAGAAATATTTTTAAAATCTATTTACCAATGGCGTTATAAGAGTATACATATTTAATTAAAAAGTATCCAAGTATAGATAAGTTTTCATATTTTTTAACAAAAAATGTTCACAATATCGCTATAGGTAACGCGCTCTGAAAAATGGTACTGTATACAGCTGTAGCTGCAAAATTATACTTTTAGGTTCTGATCGTTTCTAAGATTTTTTGAGATCATATTCTGAATAGCGAAAACAAAATATAATTATGTATTTTAGTTTTATTGTAGTGACACGCTTCTTTCACCAGTATGGTAAAATCTATAAAGGGTGCTCCAATAATCCTTCTATAGTGTATGTGTTTTTTATTTAAATAGCTACTAGAATGGTTATATTAAAAAAAGTTGTGTTATTAAAAGGCTTTTAAAATTAATTTAAAAAAATAGCGGTTCTTGAAATATTTTAAAAAACTAAAAACCAGTCAAAACCAAAAATCGTTAAAACATCGTTATTCCTGTGATTTTGAACAAAAGTAAGTTTTGACATGTAAACATACACTTTTATCTACATTTTGAACCAATTTCTTTGGTACTATATTTTAAGTTACCATTACCTTTTTTTATAATAACTGCCATAACTTATGGTAAGTGGATTTCTTGATTTTATTTTTATCTAACCATGTAAAATTCCAATGTAGCGGCCATAGAAAAAACAATCACAAAATGTAGATAAATGTGTATGTTTAGGCACAATCCACACAATTGTGTGTTTAGGTATGTTTGAAACTTACTTTTTTTAATTCACAGAAATAACGAAGTTATAACAATTTTTGGTTTCGACCTTGTAAAATAAAAAAATACACATACATATATGCACATACATTGTCGCACAAGTAAAAATAATAATAATTTTACTTATTATTTTTACAGGTCACTTAATGTCAACTCCAATCAACAGAAGAATCGACATCTTTTTCTGTCTTGTTGGATGTGCCATCTTTATCGCCGCTGGTGCAATGAACATTGACCACTATAGGCACTATGGCAACAGTGAATGGAGAAACTATGGTTTGGCTAAATCCTCTTTGGCCATTGTTAATGGCGCCCTCTTCCTTTTGGACTCCCTTTTAACATGGCGAGGAGACTTTTAAGTAAAAAAACTAAGTAATTTAAGCCACCAAATTATATTTTTTACTGTAATCATTTCAAATTATGTGTTTTGTAAACAATTTAAAAGCAGTACAATGTTTTAAGCTTTAAATGTTGCTCTATTTATTGTTAATATTTTTAAAAATTAGATTTAAGTATTGATGCCTTTAAATACGTATTTTTATATTAACTTTTGTAAATAAAACTTGCATTTGTATTTTTTCTCTTTTACATTTGTACACATTACATATAAATGTATTCATTAAATAAAAACAAATGTGTTTTAATTTAAATAGATAAATAAAACAACAAACTACGTCTTATATTTATTTTATAAATATATAACAATTGTTTTAAGATTTGTATACAAGCATATCACATGAAGTTTTAATAGATTTATTTTAAAATAGTGGATTCTAAGAAAAAAAATATTATCTCCAGTGATACCTACATCACATATATTTTTTGTTTCATTTGTTTCATTAGATGACAAGTTAGACGTTTCCTTTGAAGTCAAGTAAATGAATGACATGTATTACCAGCTGTTATTATTATTTTATTGTAAAAAAATTTCTTAGCAAAATTGTTAAGCATAAGTTTCAAAATACCGTTAAAATCCAAGTTACCCTAGGAGCCGGGATGATTCTGTACCTATAATGAAAACTCTTGTGGCACACAAAAACTTAATGCATTTGTATCTTTCTTCCTACAATTTATTGAAACCAAAGTGACAGTTAAAGAAACCTTTTTATAGAAAAACATTTTAAAAAACTAGTTTCTAAACATTTAATAGCTTTGGTCCTAAAGTTCAGTCCCCTTCCTAACAAAAAAATCAATTTTTTAAACTAAATTAAGTTTTTTGCCTCTAACTCTACAGCCCAGTGCTAATTGAGTTTCACAGTCAGATTTAATTTGCTTTAAATTATTCTTGATTGGGTTTATTAAGGTGCCAAGGAGCTCATCTATTGTGTGACTAAAATAAATTTGTTCTAAATTTGCTTTAAGATAAGTTTCTAAAGATGTTACTTCGGTTAATACTCTAAAAAAAGTGTTATTAGTATTTTGTAAAACCTACGACAAAATTTTATTGAGTTGTGGTAAAAATATTAAATTTCATTTCACGCCAAGCGTCAACTAAAAATAAAAGTTTTTCGTATTTTTTTTAATTTGTATGTATACTAAGGGACCTAAGCGTTGACTTTTTAAACATAAGAGCCGAGCCAGGAGCTTTATAAGTTTTGGTTAAAAACCATTGGTTCTAAATTGTAACTTCTAATCACAAACAAAACCAAACCTAAGCTTGAGGATAGAATAGTCTTATAAAAATCTTATGTTTTTACTTTTGTATTAAAGTATACAGTCTGTATAAGATAGGATAAGTAAACAATAACAAATCAGAATAAAAAGAAGGCAAGCGAAACCTGCGTGGCCTACAGGAGAGAGAACCATAGTTGTCAGGTTGATTTCTCATCTCAGACAACGGTTTTAATTATTAAATTAATAGTTTAATTTTATTTATTTAAACAAAATAAAAAATAAGTAAAAATTAATATTTTATCAAAACTAATCTTATTGTATTTACAATGTTTATTATTTACTTAATTTTCTTACTTTTTAATAAAAAAACAATATATTTTAGGAAATAGAAAATAGCATATGGCAACACCGCTCTCTGCGCTGCAGTCAAAATCATAGACTTATTAGAGTGGACTCAAAACTTTAAAATGTGGACAAAACTGAGCCAAAAAAAGGGTAATTTAATTATAAATATGATTATTCTAAATGAAAAACCACATATTTGCGCATAAATTTGTTTATTTAGCAACTGGTTGAACAGATACTGATTAAAATAGATAGATTTATTATTTTAAATCAATAATTTGAATTTTTACCTGTTAAAGGGTATGTTACATGTGGAAAATTATTTTAAAATTTAATCTCGGCATTATCAAATATACAACTTCTGCAAAACTGCTATCGTATTTTACATGGAGCTTCAATATGGCGCGCGGTTTTACTTTTTAATGTAACTAGCATATTGCTTTAATAAAAAGTAAAACGGCGTACCTAAAACACGCGACAAATTACTATTTAATAAAATTTCACCGTTAGTTCAATTTGCAATACTTTAATTAAATAATTTCTTGAAGAATATATACCTCAAACAAAAAATATAATTATGATTGGTGATCTAAACATAAATCTATTAAAGGGCACCACTTCACTTAACAAAGAAAATTTATTCAAATTCAAATTTATTAGAGTGGCAACCTTAGAGTGATAAACAAGGCAACAGGCTGCACAAAAATAAACTCTAGAGGGGAGGATTCCACTATTGATCACGTGGTTACAAATTTGGAAAAGAAAATAGTACCAAATGTAGAGCTAAAACAAACTGATTAATTTTAAAGTAAATCCAAAGAAACAAACCAAAAAACCGTACATACAAAATAACAAAAATAAACTATGACCACGTGGAACTAAATCTAATACAAAGAATGTCTGAAATTAATATTAATAATTTTAAAATGGTACAATACTTGATAAAAAGTAAACTCACCAAATGTACAAAAACTTTCACAAAAAAATATATATTGTCAAACAAAGAAGGATGGATGACCATCAGTTCACAATACTGCCAGAAACCGAAATAAAGCAAAAAAATTAAAAAATTCCCTAGAAGTGAAACTTTTAACAAAACTTTCTTAAACTAAAAAATTAATGTAAAAAACAATAAAAAAAGCTAAGTTAAGGAACAAATATATACAAGAAATTATGGAGAATAATAAAAGGATTAAAAATCAAGAAACCACGACAAAACCTGAAATCAAAAAAATAAAAACCAACAAAATTACCACAACTGAGTCAAAGGCCATAGCCAATATATTAAATAATTACTATGCCAATGTATGGACAAACCTAGCGATGCAAATAAAAGGACAAATGCAAAATTAGCAGTTACAACAGTTAAAATAGAATGTAAAAATGGCAATGTACCTAACGCACTTAAAAGAAATAATTGGAAAATAGACAGCCTGAAATCAAATGCTTCGTCTGGCCATGAAAATATAAAACCTAACTTGATCAAAAAACTTCAACATGTCATCGCTCCAGTATTACTTCAAGTAATAAATACATACGCAAATGAAAAACCTGACGTTTCCAGATGAAAAATAGCAAGAATTACACTGATATACAAGTCGGCAGACAAAACGGAACCTGGAAATTATAGAGCAATTGCAAAACTAACAGTATTCAGCAAGATTTTTGAAAAAGTACTTTATAAAAGGTTATCAAAACACATACATAATACAGATATTTTAACAGCTAACCAACATGGATTTCAAACAAATAAAGGAACAACAACAGCAATAAGCAACTTAATGAACTACATTTTAACTCAACTTGACAACAACCTAACGGTAACTGGGTTAGTACTAGATTATAAAAAGGCATTTGACACAGTGAACCTGGACTTAATAATGAAAAATATGGGAGTAACTGGAAAGTCTCTAAACATGTTTCAATCATATCTAACCAATCGATGCCAGCTTACAGTAGTAGGGGGCCAATGCAGCAAAATAGAGGAAATCAAATATGGTGTTCCTCAGGGGTCAATTCTGGGACCCTACATGTGCATACTTTACATTAACGATCTTAGCCTAAATAAAATACATGGTAAAATGCTTATGCATGCAGATGACCTGGCAATTTTTACACGAACTAAAATGAAAAGACACAGAAAGTAAAATTAAACAAGACTTAAATACACTAAAAAAATGGACCAATACTAATCAAATAACCCTAAATCATCAAAAATGTCACTTTATAAACTTTGAATCCAGAACAAGAGAACATCAAACATCAACATCAAGGAGCCACTAAAGGAAGTAAAAACAATCAAATACCTGTGACTACACATTGACAATAAACTAAACTGAAAGCAACACATATATGTATAAACTAAACGAATCTCTCTCCTCCTACATATCCCTAATGAACAAAATAACTAACACGCTACCACTTAAAAAAAGAATCCCTATATTAAGAGTCAATTGGCATACCTTACACCAGCAAGCGAAGACACTAAAAAATCGTTGCAGCGAAATCAAAATAAAATTTTAAAGATTATGCACAAAATGGACAAAAACATGCCCACAGAACAACTCTATAAGATCACCAAACAGCTAAATATCGAAGAGCTTAGACAACTAGAAACCCACAAATTAGTGCACAATATCATAACAAATGAGATACTGGACGAAGAAGCAACCTTTAGATTCATTTGCTATGTTATATTTATGTTTATCCGATATCCGATATTTATCCGATATTTATCCGATATTATCGTTAATGTGATACTAAGGATTTATTTTTTTCAATAATATATATGTATATATATTAGGGTGTGCCAAAAAACCTACTATTTTTTTTTACTTTGTACTCTGAAAAATCGGTTACTAGACACCTCTAGAGAATTCTCACCAAACATGAGCTCTTATTTTTGATAACAAGGTTCTCCGCTTTACAATTTTCCATTTTTTCCTCAGTATTAGAAACAAAAATTCATATCTCTTCGACAACTGTTCGTTAAAAAATATCGCTCCTCATATTATTGTAGGAAATCGAACGCTCTACAAAAAAGGTCTTCTACAATTTTTTCGTAAACCTCACCGTTTAAAAGATATCGAAGGTTAAAGTTTAATTATTTTAAGAGAAATTTCTGTTTTGCTTATAGAATGCGCGAACTAATTATTTAATTATTTTAAGAGAAATTTCTGTTTTGCTTATAGAATGCGCGAACTAAACTGCGCACCACTCAATGTGTCGCGACCAAAAAGTTCGTTCTTTTTCAAAACGACATAACTTTTTTGTTTCTTGAAAGATTTTATTTTGGTTTGTGATGTCTACTAGCCTCATCCTCTGGCAATTTATGCTATAGATATGAATCTCACGGTTGGTCAAGTAAATTTCCTACAGGGTGATATGTTAAACAGTGAAAAATTTCAATAATTTCATCCAAGCCCCGTTTGTAAAACAATAATTTTTTTTTGTTTTTACTTTGAAATAATGAAGTATTATGTGTTACCTTGAAACGTTTTTCAAATTTTTCGAATTGGAATCTTAGCAACGAAAATATAATTTTTTTTTCAAAAGAGTACATTTAAGGCTTTTTTTAGGCAATACACTCAGTCTTTTTAGGAACAAGAAGATAAGATGGTGAAAGATTGTTCCTTAAATAATTCTGAAAAAGCGACAAGCAACAAACTTCCATTATTTTTAGAGGGCCTCAGCTAAGACCACTTTTTGAAAATGACATTTTTGTGAAAGTTTGCAAAAACTAAACCTAAACCGATATTTACTTTCGTAATATGTTTTCTTCATAATTTTGTCCTCCTGATTGTGATTCAGTTGTCAAATTTAAGTCTCAGATAAAACCAAAATCACTAAGAATCAAGATTCGAAAACAATTCCTGGCTGTTAAATGTGTCAATAAAATCCGATTGCTGGTTTTTACTGTATTTTACATATCGTAAATGAGTATTTAAGGGACCACCATATTGAGAAAATGAATTGGCCACCTTTGTCTCCGGATATGAATCCCATTGAGCATGTGTCGAGCAGGATAAAATTGAAGATGAAAGAGAGGGAAGGAGGCATAAAAAATTTGGATGAATTGGTAAATGCTATTCAGGAAAAATGGGGTACCCCAGAAATTTCTAAGGAACTTGGTCGAGGGAATGCCCAGGAGGGTTAACGAATTATTACGGCTTAGGGGAGGGCCAACGAAATATTGAAAGGTATTATTGTTATTGTTTGTTACATTTTTCTGTTGAATGTTGAAGTTTTGATTATATCTACGCATACAATTTTCAAAAATAAACAAAAATATTTGTATTTAACTTTATTACCAATTAGGTAATTATCAATGATGTTATCACTACTGCGCAATGTAAATGTAAGTTATGTAACATTATCGTAACCACTCAAACAAATTGCAGTAATTTCGCACAAAAAATGAATCCCCAAATGGCATTTTCATCATAAATATGCAAGAAACACGACAGCAATCGGATTTTATTAAGACATTTAACAACAGGGAATTGTTTTCGAATTTGGATTCTTGATGATTTTGGTTTTAATAATAATAATAATATATTTATTGAGCAAAAATTATCCACAATTTTTAGCACAAAAGGTCAGAGTTCGCAAACATCCCTGCGATCTTCCACTCTGCCAGAACTTTAATAAATTAACATAAACTGCTGGGTTTTATCTGAAACTTAAATTTGACAACTGAATCACAATCAGGAGGTCAAAATTATAAAGAAAACATGTCACGAACGTAAATATCGGTTCAGGTTTAGTTTTCGCAAATTTTCACCAAAATGTCATTTTGAAAAAGTGGTCTTTGCTTAGGCCCCTCTGAAAATAATGGAAGTTTGTTGCTTGTCGCTTGTTCAGAATTATTCAAGGAAAAATCTTTTACCATCTTATTTTCTTGTTCTTAAAAAGACTGAGTATATTCCCTACCAAAAAGTCTTAAATGTACTCTTTTGAAAAAAAAATCATATTTTCGTTGCTAAGATACCAATTCGTTTCAAGGTAACACATAATACTTCATTATTTCAAAGTAAAAACGAAAAAAAAATTATTGTTTTACAAACGGGGCTTGGATGAAATTATTGAAATTTTTCACCGTTTTACATATCACCCTGTAGAAAATTTACTTGAAGAACCGTGTGTTTAATATCTATAGAATGAATTGCCAGAGGATGGGGTTAGCAGACATCACATACCAAAATAAAATCGTTTAAGAAACAAAAACGTTATGTCGTTTTAAAAAAGGACGAACTTTTTGGTCGCGACACATTGAGTGGTGCGCAGTTTATTAAAGCAGGTAGTGCGGAAATCCAAAAAACTTGTTTCAATGTTTAGGTCTCTTATTGTATAACATACACTTTTATCACGTCTAAATACCACTTGGTTCATGTGAGAGGTAGGTAATATTTTTTGTAATAACCCAAAGTACAATGCATTTTTTACTTACTCATTTATCACAGGAAATATAGCGTCTATTTGCATTGGGTTTGTGTAATTATTTGCTATTTGCCATGAGTTAAACCATGTATTCATTCTAAACAAAAAAACATTTAAAATACAATTACATTGCTGCATAAACAATAGAATACTTACTGATCACTTTCAATAATACTTTTGTACCGACTTTTTAAGTTGACGAACCATTCGAAGCCGACAAAAATTTGCCACCCAGGAAAATCTAGTTGCGACAGCAAAGGGTTTCGGGGGGGTACGTCGGTATCCAAAAAGTTTTCGTTGTAACCTAACATTTTTTTAACGGATCTGTTTAGTTCCGAGTTAAAACCACCGCACAACCATGTTTTGACACATATTGTCAGTGAAGGAATCGCACATGGTAATAGTTCGCACAGGGTGGCGTAGTGATCAAACCTTAAATAGAACGTTTTCAGTATATTTCTTTTTTAAGCTAAAATGTTTCAAAAGTAGGCAGTAATATAATATAATTATATATATACCTTAAGAGGCCTATTCCCTTTCCCTAAACATGCATGTTCATGAACTACATATGTTTCGTAACATATGGGCCTATTGAATAGGCCCATATGTTTCGTAACATATGGGCCTATTGAATAGGCCCTATTCCCTTTCAATTATTTCGTCTATAGACGCATGCGCTCAAAGAATCTATGTTTATAAACATCAACGGTGTTTAAATGGCTATTCCGTTTCCAAAATTCGATGTTTGGTGAACATACATGATGTTTGAAAACGTATGTTTACGAACACTTGCCTGAGAGGTGCTGTTAGGCAATATTTGAGGTTTTTTATCTTGAATTAATCATAAATTGCGGCGATGTTTGGTACAGTATACAGTACAGTATCATTATCAAGCATAGTAATTATGGATTAATTACTTTTTCATAATTAATACCTAATTAATTATAATTATAAATGATAACTAATTATCTATAAATAAGAATAGGACAAATCATATAAGCCCGGACAAGAATCGGGATTTCCTGGTGAAGTCATGATGATATCACAACGTGATTTTTTTTATCACGCTGTGATATCCTGAGTGCATACACATGCTTCATCACAGTGATATCATGTAGAACTCACGGTGTGATATTTGCAAAATTTGCGCATGCTTATGAGCCCTGCGAACTGCGAATTTAAAACCTACTTTGTTATTCACATTACACCGTTATAATTTATAAATCGTTGTTTGAATATCACAAATGTTGTCCGGGTTCAATTAAAAAAGATATTCCAATTTTTAACAAAACGTGAACGTTTTGTTAAACATTGGAATATCTTTTTTAATTGAACCCGGACAACATTCTTGATATTCATACGAACATCGTGATTTTCACAAATTTTATTCATACTGATATTATACGCAAGTCACAGCGTGATAAATGAAAATCATACGAACGTCACGTCGTGATTTTCACAAATTTTATTCATACAGACATCATCCGGATGTCACTGCGTGAGAAATGAAAATCATGTCGTGATTTTTATGCCATCACTGTTTGCGATTGACCGATGGCCTAAAAAATCACGACATGATTGTTTATGCCATCGGTGCACCGACATGTTTGGATATTTATTTTTGCGCCACATTCGTACATTGAACGAAAAAGTATGTTAACAATTGAATTACCAGTTTTTGCGGTCAATTACATTTAATATTTTCTTGGATGTAAATTGACTAATAATTTTAATCCAAAAAAATATTGAATGTATTTAATCACAAAAACAGTTGATTCAATATACAGGGTGTCCTGAAATTAGTGCACCATACTTTAACAACAGATTCTACGTGCAAAAATAAGAAAAAAAGTCCCTATAAACATAGGTCAAGAAATGCCTCTTAAGGGAGCTACAGCCCCCAAAAGGAAAGCCCCTGAAGATGGTTTTTATTTAATATCTCCAAAACCGTTAAAGATAGAAAAGTGAAATTTAGGGAATTAATTAAACTTTTTATGACCAATAAGACGTAACAATAACAATTTAAAAAAATTCATGAGGTTTGGGTCAGATTGATAGGAAGTGGGGTTAAAACCACCTTAACTTTTTTGTACGTATCTTGTACCAGAATTTGATGTCAGATTATGAAATTTTGGAGTTTTGCACATAAAAAAGGTCATCTTGTTGAACTTCGTTAACATACACCGTTTTCGCTTAAAATGGATTTGAAAATTATTTTTCATGGCATAAAAATTCACAATTAAATCACAACCATAGAAATGGACTCGCGTGGTCCTTGGAATACGACTGCCATGTTTAGGAAAAAATAGAATAATTCAAGACAGGTGACAGTTTCATGTAGTAAGTGACAGGGTGTTTCTACTTTTTTATAAATATTAGATAAAAACCATATTCAGGGGCTCTCTTTTCGGGGGCTGTAGCTCCCTTAGGAGGCATTTCTCGATCTATATTTATAGGGACTTTTTTTCTTAATTTTGCACGTGGAATCTGCTGTTAAAGTATGGTGCACTAATTTCGGAACACCCTGTATATGTAGGTATACTTTTTCTCTCAATGTACGAATGTGGCGCAAAAATAAATATCCAAACACCGATGGCATAAAAAATCACGACATGATTTTTTATGCCATCGGTGTTTGGCACATACTTCTCTAAGTATGTGGTGTTTGGTAATAAAAAATCACGACATGATTTTTTATGCCATTAGTGTTTGGATCTTCATTTTTGCGACACATTCGTACATTGAAAGAAAAAGTATGTTAACAATTGAATCAACAGTTTAACATTCAATATTTTCTTGGATTTAAATTAACTATATATAAGTAGTTAATTTAAATCCAAGAAAATATTGAATGTATTTAACCGCAAACACTGTTGATTCAACATAATTTTTCTCTTATTGTACGAACGTAGCGCAAAAATGATTATCCAAACACCGTTGGCATAAAAAATCACGACATGATTTTTTGTGCTATCGGTCAATCCCAAACAGCGATGGCATAAAAAATCACGACATGATTTTCGTTTCTCACGCAGTGACATCCGGATGATGTCCGTATGAATAAAATTTGTGAAAATCACGACGTGACGTTCGTATGATTTTCATTTATCACGCGGTGAAGTCCGTATGATATCAGTATGAATAAAATTTGTGAAAATCACGACATGATGTTCGTATGAATATCACGAATGTTGTCCTGGAGGTTTCACACCAAACAAATAAAAATATATTTTTTGGTAATTTTAAAAATATGTTTATGATTTGTTTTTTAATTATTAAAATGTATTTCCTAATTATAATACCAAAATACAATTTTTTCTAAACTATATTATTTTATTTATTGGTAGAATAAAAAATAACTTGGAAAAATATATTTTATTGAAAAAATACAACAAATATAAAATATCAAATACCTATGTAATATTATTACTCAAAAATATAGACAAAATATTAGTAAAAGAAAAGTATAACCAATAAAATACAAAAAAGTATGCATTTAAAAACTCTTTTTCTTCACATGGGAGCTAAAACTTTTTGGTTTAATTTTAAAATCTTTTAGGTTTTATCAATACCTTGTAAAACCTCTACACCTTCACTACTCGTCAGAGTTTGAGTTGGACTTTCTCTTTATGCCTCTCTGTTGTAGAAGGGCCCTTCCACCCGACCTTAAAGGCTTGTCAATAAAGAGTTCCAACGATGGTATTACCTCCACCTTACCCTCAACCACTAACTTTCACAGCGCTTCCTCTATTAGGGCTAGTAATTTATCCTTAAAGTCATTAAGTTGTTTTACTGGCTCCCCGACATTGCCAGTCTCCATGTGAGAAATGCGTAGTGTAAAAATAAGTAACAAATAATTATTTTAAGATATTTTATGATTATCCTTTTCCATATAAGGATGGACTTAATGGCCCCGCCAGAAGATCTGTGCTTTGGCTAGTTCAGCATAAAACGTTTTTCCCAAGTATTTTTAGAATTTGTGGATTTTCCTAAGTTTAATATATTAAATATCACCAATGATTTTTAAAATAATTATCTAACACAATTTCTTCTTCTTCTTCTTCTTAATTCTGAACACAATTCTGTGTTCAGAGAAATGACCTTTAGCTTAATTTAAAAGCTATTTGGCCAGCACATTATATTATTAAAATTTTCTTTATTATCAAGAGTCTTATTTAAAAGAATCTGAGATTAACTCATCCCTTGAATCATTTATAAATAACTCATCCCTTGAATCATTTATATATATATATATTGTTAATTATTTATCAAATTTTATAGAACCATGTCATCTTTTCGCTTCACTATGTACACATGGCTTCATATACAGAATTTTCCAATTATCTTTAATCTTCAATCATCCGATCCATCTCTTAATTATTTCCATATATTTTTGCAAATTCTTGATTAAAACCAGTTTGTTTTTACACTGGGAGTCCGATTTTGCCTCTCCTGGGTCGAGAAGTCACTTATTTTTCAAATACTCTTTCATAGAGCAACCGTCAACCGAACTCCAATTCAAACACGAGAACCAAAACCGAACTCCAATTCAAACTGATCTAACACAATTTTAGTTTACGATCTGCGACTTTTAGGTTATAAAACTAAGATACTCTCTGTCCTAGAAACATTTAACGCTGTTCAGAAAGATTCAAGGTCAAGACTTTCAACATATGAGAAACGGAATAGCCTTAAACATAGGTGATGTTTGGGTTGTCGTTGGTTGAACATACATGTTAAGAAATCGATGTTTACGAACAGCAAGAAAGGGAATAGGCCACTAAGTTAGGTGTATGTATAATTACCCAGATTGTTAGTTCAGCTATAAATGGCAACCATGCAAACATTTATTCTAAGAAATTTGTTTTAGTTGTTTGTAAAATTGTACCTACACATTTGCATTTTTTCATGTAGTAGTTTTTATAGTAAACAGTTATTTGTAAATAGTTTGTCTCATAAAATTTTGTAAACTATGTTATTATAAATTAGTATAAACAATGTTTTATTTTAGAATAAACAGGCTGTTGTATTATAAATTATTATAAACAATGTTTCATTTTACAATACATTGATTTATATTTCTAACCTCTGTTTAATATCTTTTTATTAATATGTATTATTTTAGCATTACTTTTGATCCTATTGAAGTTTTTATAGGGATTTTCGGATAAAAATAACATGAATAAAAACTTCTGTACAGCCCTATAGACTTATGGAAATACCAAATAAAGATGTAGAATTCCTATAAATCCCGATACCGTCCTATATGATTAATGTAGGCAAATACCGATAGTAACACCAAGTTTCCCTTTGTTCTATTAGAAATAGACTATTACCTACACACTTTGCCAATCACAGATGACTGCATCAATGTTATCCTTACATACACTGCCATTGCCATTTCCTTAATAAAAATACCATCCATAGCAAACACTCATACATTTTTTCTTGGAGACCAAAAGCAAATAACTCAAAGAAGGATATCCCTATAGAGCAACCATAAAACATTTGACAAAATTTTGTTAAAGCCTATGGGGTCCTATGGGAGAAAAATCTTCTAGATTTATGTATATTTTCCCTATTGAGACCGATACCAAATAAATCAAGGAAGGATATCCCTATAGAACATCCATAAATCCCAACTATGGGTCCTATTCATACCGATACACCTTATAGAAACACCATACAATCCGATACGAAAATCTATCGGTTTGAAGGGTCTATGTGACTTTTTAACCAGTAATTACTATTAAAATAAAATTTTTACTTACCTTGACCATCCGGTTAAAACAATCCCCCTAAAATTGATGATTTTCCCTGCGTGTAAACCTAGTTCATTTAACCATGCCTCGTGGTTGCTTATGTGGAACTTGGATATTGGTATCACTTGTGCGCTACTGGTGGCCCCCTTAAATGCTGAAGCCCCCCAAACGTTTTTAAAAACAGCAGCGTACTTTTCCCACAATTGACCCCCTAGTTGGAAGTTATCCGATGAGCAATAGTGCCACAGCATTGGTTCTATCAAGTTACCCAAGTAATAATCTAAAAAGTCAGAAAATTATAAAAAACTAAATGAAAAAACACAAAAATGTAAGAATTTTATTTTTTTTACATACATTTTTTTTGACAATATTGAGAAAGGAGGAAAAACAACAAAACAGTGAGCAAAATGCAATACTGTGTTAAACATATTTAATAAATGTATTAAACAAGGAATTATTTCTCATAACTTGAATTTAGCTAAAGTAACTCCTATATTTAAGAAAGATAATCCAAACAACAGTAAAAACTAGAACAACATCTATATTACCAGAGATGTTAAAATTTTTACTTAAAAATAGAAATAGATTGTACAAATACCTTGAACAAAAAATTCTAAACTCATATCAACACGGGTTCAAAAAGGAAAGATCCACTAAGAGAGCTGATGGTAGATATAATTGAAACCATAAATAATTCCTTTAATAAAAAGAAAAAACTATTGACATACATATTTAATATATTATTATTAAAAAGTTGCTACAGTAAAATTTCAATTGACATCCGCAGTTTTTACCAAAGATAATACACATTGTCTTTGGTTGTTACTAGTACACTCCACAGGGTGTAAAAAAAATTGGGGAAAAAATTTGTCTTAATTTTGCAACCTGTATATGCTCAAATTAAAATATGAATAAAATGTACGAGGTGTGTTGAGAAAATATCGGAAATTTTCATTTTTTGAAACAAATATTTATTTATTCGTCTACATTAATGTTGTCGCCTTCAAAATAGTCCACATTGGATATTATGCACATGTGCCAGCTCTTCTTCCAATACTCGAAACACTTCTAAAATTCGATCTTTGGGGCAGCCTTTAGTTCTTTCAGCGATGCGCTTTTAATGTCATCTATGCTTGCAAAACGACGGCCCTTTAAGGTTCTCTTTATTTTTGGGAATAGGAAAAAGTCAGACAGAGGCATGTCTGGCGAATATGGAGGATGGGGCATCATTACAGTATTGTTTTTGGTCAAAAATGTTGTTCAAAATTTAACAATTTTAGAACAAATTTTGCTGCCACGCGTTTCATACCCAAAACATTCGAAAAAATTTCATGGGATGAGCCAATCGATATACCAACATCATCAGCGACTTCTCTGATGGTTTATAACCATTTCTTCTACTTTTTCCATGTTTTTATCGGTTGTTAATGTGCTTGTGCGTTCGGGGCGTTCGTCATCTTCAACGTCTTCACGGCCATCTTGGAAACTCTTATACCACTTGTAAACTCTTGTTTTACTTACAGCAGACTCAATATTATATAATAATAGGCCTTTGTTATTATTTCACAGAATTTATTTCATTTTTTAAGCAAAATTGGACTCAAATTCTTTGATCCATTTCTTTTAACGAACGAAAAATCGCCGAGCTCATAAAACACGTCTAACCTTAGCGGCTGCCACAGACAAAGTAAACAATGAAAACAGCTTAAGTTTTTATCATACTTCGCGGGATGTATACCAACATAATTAAGAAAATTTTATGAAAACCGGACCCTCCGAACCCGCGAAATTTAACAATTCACGTTATTTTCTGAACACACCTCGTATATTTTAGCATCATTACTGAACTGAGTCAACTAACAGTTAAAAAAAATCATTCAAAATCAGATAAGGGGTTTGGGAGTAAATCATGCGAACTTTATTCAAGGAGTTTCCTTTAAAACAGTGTATCTTCGTTAATAACATAGATAATAACTTGAGGAAAAAAACGGAATTGCTTAAAAAATATAAGAGTACAGTATAATAATTATTTAATAATTTAATTTTATAATTATTTTAATTAACATCCGCTGTTATGGCTGATGCACCCCACAGGGTGTCACAAATTTCAGGCAAAAAACTTCTGCTTACTTTTGCACCCTGTATATACTAAAATAAAAATAAAAATGTCTACAATAGCATCGTTACGGAAGTTGTAACCTACATTAAAAAAAATCATCAAAATCATATGAGCGGTTCCCGAAAATTAACAATTCCTGTTATTTCTGAACACACCTCGTATATTTTAGCATCATTACTGAACTGAGTCAACTAACAGTTAAAAAAATCATTCAAAATCAGATAAGGGGTTTGGGAGGAAATCATGCGAACTTTATTCAAGGAGTTTCCTTTAAAACAGTGTATCTTCGTTGATAACATACCTAGATAATAACGTGAGGAAAAAAACGGAATTACTTAAAAAATATAAGACTACAGTATAATAATTATTTAATAATTTAATTTTATAATTATTTTAATTAACATCCGCTGTTATTGCTGATGCACCCCACAGGGTGTCACAAATTTCAGGCAAAAAACTTCTGCTTACTTTTGCACCCTTTATATACTAAAATAAAAATAAAAATGTCTACAATAGCATCGTTACGGAAGTTGTAACCTACATTAAAAAAAATCATCAAAATCATATGAGCGGTTCCCGAAAATTAACATTAAAATTGTTGCCAATTTCTGGTGGCCGGTTTAAACGACTACCTCAACTTGTCTTTCTAATGTTTGTTTTTATTTATATTTTTACCATTTATCATGTTAATATATGTTTTTAAATATTTATATTTTATTCACGTAACACTTGTACAAATTTAAATGTAAAATTATCATTATTATTATTATTACTAATACTTATTATACTTACCTTGACGTAATTGTATTTTTTTTAAAGCAAATAAAGTATTAACCGTAAACTGAAAAATATACCAAAATATAACAACTTCGACCCATATACATGTAATAAGTAGGTATAAAATTTAATTTTGCATTAAATATTACATTTTTAAATTCTTACCTTGCATAACATTGGCATCAATATTTCTCAACATATCATCCCAAATAATAATTTTTAAATTTGAGTAATTATCTCTAATATACTGTGCGACTTCAGTAACATGATCCAAATACAAACCATGTCTGCCATATTTACCATTCTGAATCCTTTTTTGACAAGAATTACAGAGCCCCATATGCCATATCTAAAAATATATTTATTTAAGATTTTCACAGCAAAAACTAAAACAAAAAAAATACAGCATTTAAATGTTATTGAATAATTAAGTAAAAAACAATGACCACATGACTTCGTTCTAAAATTTATATTTTAAAATTTCAGAAGACGTTTTAGAACACTTAAATGACAGAATGACGCAATTTGCCACACTAGAAGCGCTTTAGAGATTAAATTGGCGGCCCAGATTTAACTTTTCTCAGCTTCATTCTCTGTAATTCTTTTAAATGTAAGGTCTGTTTTAACAAAATCCACTTCTGGTTTTAGACAACTTCTGAAATGTTCAAAAATAATACTTTAAATTTTGGCATTTACAATGAAATCCTTTTTAAAGAATTTTATTTAATTACTGTGCTTTTTTAATTTATGTGGACAAAATTTACATTTTTATGAATATTTTTATCTAATTAATTTTAGGTGCGTTCTTTTTGACTGAGATCTTACCTCGCCTTCAGTTAAAATTAGGTAAAATGTGATGTAGATAACCATGGAAAAAGACGAATTCACTTAACTAGAACGCGCAACTTATCAAGTGCTCTTCATGAAGATGCATTTAAATTAATTTAATTATTATTTAATGCATTTAAATTATTTCGAACGCACACATTTGCAAATTGTACCGTTATGTGAGCTGAGATAAACTGAGATCTCAGTTAAAAAACTTATAAATTGTCTAATAACTTACCTCATCCCCTCCAATATGTATATACTCTATATTTTGATGAAAAGCAACAATTTGTTTAATTAAACTTCTAACCAGTGGCATTGTTTCACTATTACTTGGACACATTGAACTGGGGTATGCATCGACCTCCCTTAACGCACGCCACTGATCATGCTTCAAAACAAATTCCATGTGTCCAAACGTTTGTACCAAAGGAATTATTGTCAAACCACAATCTGATGCTAAAATATTACAGATTTTTAAATTAATTTTGAACCTAAGCCCTGACCATATTTAATAAAAAAATTAAAACAAATCCTAAAAAAGTGGTAATAACTCATAATTTAAAAAAAATTAAACAAGGTTTTTTCTTACTTTTTTACTAGGTATTCAGAAAGGTACTTTCAAAAAATTAGATTTGTAAATTAATTTTTAACCTGAGCCCCGACCACTTTTTATAAAAGAATTAGAACAAATCCTAAAAAACTGGGAAAAACTAATATTTTTTTTTAAATTTTTTTTCAAACAAAGTTTTATCTCACTCTTTTACTATCCTAAAGGTACTCCCAAAAATTCAGATTTTAAATTAATTTTTAACCTGAGCTCCGACCACATTTGATAAAAAAAATTAGAACAAATCCTAAAAAAGTGGGAAAAACTCATAATTTAAAAAAAAATTCAAACAAGGTTTTTTCTACTTTTCTACTTTCTACTATCCTAAAGGTACTCCCATAAAATAAAATTTGTAAATTAATTTTTAACCTGAGCCCCGACCAAAAAAATAGAACAAATCCTAAAAAAGTGGGAAAAATTCATAATTTAAATAAAAATTCAAACGAGATTTTTTTTACTTTTTTAGTAACCTGAAGGGACTCCCAAAAATTCAGATTTGTAAATTAATTTTTTGACTGAGCACCGACCACTTTTAAAAAAAATTGCTAATAATGTCAATAATAAAAAAATTAGTATAAACCAGGACCAAATCTGCAAAACCAGGACAAAACCAGTAGGTACACAATTAAAACCAGGACACATTAGCAAAAACCAGAACCTGTCCTGGGTAAACCAGGACTGTTGGTCACCTTACATAAATATTGTAATGAATGCTGAACATATCCTACGATAATTTACCAATAATAAAGTATTTATAAAGGTGTTAGTTTTCTTGTTATATCACAAATTAATAAATAATAATAAAAAAATTTATTTGGCTACTAATAGTATCCTTCCATAAATTTTCTTAGATAAACAAATTATTTAAAAAAAATATACCTATCAAAACTTGATAGGTATATAGGATATATATCTGATATTTATATAATTATCATATTTGCCAACCCTTTTGTATTAAAAACTCCAAATGTATCTTACCTAAATAAAGTATTTGTTTAGCTTCCTCCAAAGAGTATGGGGCACTCTGTATTTGTGCACTGTTTGACAACCCACCGATCTGTAGCAACTCCCTTGAATATGGAAAGGTGTCTTCCCATTCTAATAAAATACCAGTAGCTCCAATACTTTTTATAAATGGAAAAAACTACAAAAATAATTATTTGTATAGGTACCTACTTAAAAAGTGGGTTACTACTACCTTTTCAAAATACGAAACTTTTAGAGGAGCCCCTTTAAGATCCAAATGCACAATCCTAAAGCAGGTAAATATATATAAATTACGTTTTTGTTTTAATTTTATTTATTAATTTACCTTTGAGTGCCGAACGTCAAGTTTTCCATTTTATAACCCCCAAGATACATACACCTGTATAACCTCAAATAACATCATACAGTTCGTTTTTTTTATTAGGGATTTTACTTCAAAAATTTGAGGGCTTGGCAAATTCTAGGCATGGGGGGCTTTTTAAAAGAAATTAGAAACAAATTTGGTCGAGATCTATGATAAATTGCCACTTTGCACATGCGCGTACCATTCTTAAACAATGGCCGGTGTTGTTTGAAATTTTGTGTTTTGGTTTTTAAGGTAGGTAAGTTTAATTATTATTAATTATAAACTTATTAATTATTAACTTTTATAAAACTTCAATTTTGAATTTCTAAATTAAATAAACCATTTTAGTTTATAAAAATAGAAACAAATCGTTGAATCGTAAATTAATGCTTTGTTTTTTGTTATGCATTTAGGGTAAAGACTGCAGTCGTTGGCAGGGTTATAGTAGTTGACACAGGTATTTGTATTTGCAAATAAACTATTTGCTTTTTAATTTTAAGGTATGGGGTTTTTGCCATTTAAAAGTTTGCAATATGAAGCATGATGTATAGGGTATTTTTACTTTCTGCTGTTGGTACTAAATGTTCATGTGTGCTGCTTTGGCGCGCGTTTTTTTAGAAGAGTTTTTCAATGTTTGTGTTATCTAAACTACTGTTAGATAATTGTGTGTATTTATATATTAAGGTAAGTAATGACTTAAAAAATGATGTTAAATACAGTCAAGGGCTTTTTGTTTGTTAATGGGATGAAGAAAATGGCGCATCTTGTATTTTAACCTCAAAATTTTGTAGTGCCAACCACTGTCACATAAAAACAATTATTTCACAGTTCTTGGCAGGTCAGGCCAAGCACTGTATTTTGGATAAATTTTTGAGTTTTAGTGTTTGGCATCAAGTAATTTGATGTTTTTGTTGCAATATTATTGCTTTGATAAAACGTTTATTTGTTTATATCTACTTATATTTCTTAGAGAAATGGATCAAAGAGAAGGAAAAATTATTCAAGCTGTACAGGCTGTTAGGGATGGCATGTCCAAATTAAAGGCGTCAAAAATGTTTGGTGTACCCAGGTCAACTATTCAATTTCGAATGGGGCAGAAATTTAAAAAACCTGGGTTTGGTCCAAGCACTTATCTTACTTACAAGGAAGAAGAAGTTTTGGTTGAGTTGGTTTTAATTTTATTTAGTTTAAATAATTTAACTGATGCAAATTTATCTTAGATGGATATTAACATGCCAAAGAAAAGGTTTTCCTAGGCGGATTGAAGATGTCCAGCACAGTGTACAAAATATTGTGAAGGAAACTGCTAGAAATACTCCATTTCGCGATGGCCTGCCAGGCAAAGGGTGGTATCGGGCATTTGTGAAAAGACACCCAGAATTGTGTTTGAGAACAACCGAAGCAGTCACCCAAGCTAGTTCTTGTATTAGCGAGGCTGATATAAGAAATTGGTTTAAAACCATTGAAACAGAACTACATGAGGAAGAATTTAAAAACATTCTGCTGGATGGAAATAGAATTTTTAATGGTGATGAGACCAACTTTTTATTGTGCCCAAAGAATAAAAAAGTAATTGCCATTAGAGGAACAAAGAACGTGTATGAAGTTGACCAGGGAGCTGCTAAAGCTGCATTAACTGTAATGTTTACATTTTGCGCTAACGGTGACCTTACCCCACCAATGATAATATATCCCTACAAAAGAAAACCACCAAAAGAAGTTTTGGAGACGGTACCAAAAAATTGGGGGGTCGGCTATTCAGATAATGGGTGGATGAAGTCTTCCTTATTTTACGAGTATATTGCGAATGTGTTTAACCCATATTTAGTTAACACAAAAACTAAAAAGCCAGTAATCCTGTTCGTTGATGGACATAAAACACATTTGACACTTCAGGTCAATCAATTGTGTACTAGTTTAGGTATTATACTTATAGCTTTGTATCCTAACGCTACAAGGCTGCTACAACCAGCAGATGTCGCTGCTTTTAAGCCACTTAAATCTGGTTGGCAAAAAGGAATTCTTCAATGGAGGCGCGAACATCCGATGCTGCAATTTACTAAGGAAAATTTTGCACCCTTACTTTCTAAAGTTATTGATGACTACGTCAAGGATTCCACAATAATAAATGGTTTTAAGGCAACCGGATTATTTCCTTGGAATTGCAATGCACTTGATTACTCTAAATGTATGGGACACATGAATGCTAATAGATTGACAACAACACAAAATGATCATCCAGCTAATACCATAAATGAACCCGTTCTAAATTTTCAGACATTTAAAACATTTCTTGGTGAAGACCTTGTAAATTTATTTGAAACTGGAAATCAAAGTAACAATAGCCCTGAGGTTAACAGTTTGTTTAAAATTTGGAGATTTTTTGAAAACACCAATCTGACTGATGATAATATCCTGTATGATGAGGAAAATGTTTCAATAAAATTCATAGAAGATGTAGATATGTCCTGCCAAACAGATAAGCATCCATTAAATGAAGACACTGGTGATGTTTTTGATCCTGTATTAAAGGAGGCCTTAGATAAGTTTGATGCTAACTTTACTACACATGAGACAACATATGAAGAAATTAATAGTTTAAAAGATAATATCACCAAACAGGATTCATTACTTTGTACACCCATACATGAAATTCTTCACTGGCCAGATTCTCCGAAGAGAAAAAATAAAAAACAAGTAGAAAAAATGCCGTTTGTGATCACTTCAGAAAAGTGGAGGCAAATGGCAGAAGATAAGGAAGAAAAAAAGAAATCACTTGAGGAAGAGAAACAAAGAAAAAAGAAGGTAAGGGAAGAAAAGAAAAAAATTGCCAATAGTCGAACACCAAAACTAAAAAGTGTTGTATCTGGTCAAAAAAACAAAAAATCCATCCTTAAAGCTACAAAAAATAAAAAATCAATACGCATACAACAAAATGTTCTAATTAAAGCTTCTGCGGCGTTGGGAGGTAAAACTGAAGAAGAAAAGCTATCTCTAGAAAGAAATAGCATGAGTAAGACTCCGCCAAATGAAGAAAAGCTTTTGGAAAATGTTTCATTATACTTGTCTTCTTTAGAAGATAAAATAAAGATACACCATTTGCAAGAGAAAACTAATCACAGAGACTGGTCAGAACTTAATCCTGTTCTTAAATCTATAGAAAACAAGACATCAAAACACACACAACAAAATGTATTAGTTAAAGCTTCTGTGGCATTAAAAGCTGAAAGTGGAGTAGAAAAGTCCTCTTCGGTAAGAAATAGCATGATTACAACTGAACCAAATAATGAAAACTGTTTGGACAATTTTTCACCACAATGGTCTTCCAAAGGAGAAGAAATAAAGACACACAATTCGCAAAAGAAAACTTATCAGAAGTCAGAATGCAAATTCTTAGCTTCTGGGATTTGCTATAAATGTACTGAAAATATAACTCCAAAGAGAATGGGCAGAAAATGTTCAAAATGCATAAGAACATTCCATTTTAAATGCCAATACAATTTTTTTGCAAAACCATTCATCTGCATTAAGTGCATTATTTTTTAGAATTAAGATACCTACATTTAATAAAAATTCCACAAAGTGAAAAATGCTAATAAAGATAATGTTAAATACACTATTCCTTTTTTTTGTTTAGTCATTATTGATTTTAATATAGGTAATATTAATATTTATAATAATATCATTAACCTATGCCAACAACTATATATAGATAATGTCAACCACTGTAACATACCTGCCAATCACTGTGAAATCACTCCAGTTTTTTCTATTGTGTTTTTTTATGAATAAGACAAAGATAAACGTTGAAAGAGAAGATATAGACATACAGTAAAATTTCTGAGCTTTTATTTGAGTTTATTGCATTCATTCTTAGTCCAATTTATGATGGTACTATAGATATTTAAATCTTACTTTGCCTACAATTGTGCCAACGACTGTCGTCCTTACCCTATATATTTATAAAAAGTGTAGGTACAAGAATAGGAAAAAAGGTAGTTTTGTCATATTTGCGTAAATCCTTGATTTGAGCAATTTATCCTCTCACCAACAGTTTTATCAGTATAATTTTCCTTTCATATCCATCTTATAATTTTGCAAATTGATAAATTATATTTTAATATTTATGCCTAGGCATAACAGCTGTTATTGATAATATTATACACTAGTGTACACATAATACGTCAGGCTTTTGCTAAATTAGATAATATCTACATATTATGTATATATAAATATTCTCCTTCCTAAGTCACACATCTTCACAAACCTGTCCCACACATACATAGGTATTAAGTATGTGATCAATGATCATGCTTATTATTTTTAAACGTGCTCTTGCTCCAACAAAAGGCGTTTTTGGTATTATTAATATATTACTATAGGTACTGCTAAAAAAAATCTGACATAAATTGTGATTAACTGTGACCTAGGGGGAAGATTAACTGTATCCTAGGATACTCACTGCATTAAGAACTAAGAACTAAGGGATGTATTAATATTTTAGGGGTGGACCATTAGTGGTTTTTTTAATAAATATATTTACTAAAGTAACTGTTATCACAACAAAATCTAATCTCTTTTACAAAATTTTTATTCCTTTTAAGAACATGTGCCAATTGGAATTTGTATTTTGTATCATTTTGCTCAATCAACTGTTTTTGAGAGGTAGACAAAAAAACATTTTTTAATATGCGCACATTCAAATGCTTAAATATATATATATATTTAAACTTCTAATTGAAGCAAGCATAGTTGGTAATGTTGCTATAGGTCTTTATTAAACTGTAAAAAAAATACCATATATATTGATAATGGTATTCTTTAAAAATCTTGCTTTCATCGAAAGTTTCTCATACAAAATAATATTTTGATGATGTGCTTATTTTTAATATCTTTATTAGGTATATTGGTTACCTAAAGGTATACCGAACGAAAATATTGAAAATGATTCAAAAATCGGATGAGAATCAAATTTTAAAAAAATCACAACTTTTCTGTGAATAGCCTTTATTTACATTTTTATACACAGATACAGTTCACTTCAAAAATGATTGTTGAATAAACTGCGTAACCATTGTTTTTGATTGATGCAGTATAACAATGACAAGTGGATTATTAAGAAAAAGTCCTACAGACTTCAACAAAAAATTATAAATAAATAAACACATTAATTATAATTATAACAAATTAAGTGCAAATAATATGTATAGTATACATAAAAATAATGCAACAAATAAAATATTATTACTTTTATACTATGGAAGGCAAAATTCATTTAATAGTATATACAGGATATTTTAATTAATGACAAAAAACTTGGTAAAAAAATCTATATAAATGTTGAAAAACAACCTGTAAAAAGTGGAATTTAACCTTTGAGTAACAAAAATAAATATTGTTAGTTGGTTCCATTTCCCTATAACTCCACTTGTAGTAAATAAATATAATACAATAATATATACAGGCACCTAATAATAAACCTATTTTCTACACAGTTTTGTTGTATATGTATTTTAAAAACATCATGAGAATAGTTGGACATAATAATAATTATATATACAAAATTAGTTTTTAGCAACACATTTTTGAGGAGTGTAATAATGGCACTATTTAAAAAAAACCTGCCATACTATGAAATAACTCATTTTAAATGCATTGCAAATATAATAGTACTTATTTTACACTATTTTAGTGTTTTTTGGGAATATTCGCCATATTATGATAATACAAGAATTTATAGAGATTTCTGAATTAATTTTATTACAATAATTATTATTATTATTAGAAAGCCTATAAATAAAATATTAATTTGTGTTAATAGGTTTTTGGTATATATGCAAGGTTTACAATGTTATTTGTTTACAAAAGTTGTTTTAAAAATATTTTAATATAAAAACTATAGTGTTCCTTAATTCACTATAATAAAAACTAACGCAGAAATCTCTTATTATAATATATGCCATTTCATGAGAAATTTTTTAGGTTTTTTGGATTTACAAAATATTTAATTTTCGTGTATATAAATAATAGGTTTTTAAATCTTAGTCCAATTTTTATTTAAAATATTTATGGTATAATTTTAAATAAAAACTCTTAAAAACGAAAAGTTTGAGACTAGAGCATTTTGGTACTCTCACTATGACTTAGGTTTTATGACACCATGGATAATAACATATATATGTACTGTGAAATTTCCGACTGGGGTAGAAATGGAAGAGGATATCTTCTTTTTAAGTTGTTCCCCCGTATTTTAATTTTTGGTGTATACAGCTGACGCATCACAGCAGCAGGTGACGTTTACATCCCAAATTACAAATATTTTTCTTTGATATAAAAAACAGGAATCTAAATACTACACAGTACACCTTAGCGAATGCAAAAGGTAAATGATGCTCGAACACACCGCGTTGTCAAGTCGTCACCGCTGTAAAATATCCCCACCCTTTCAAGGCGTTTGGATGCACTCGGTCTGTATATTTTTACCGTGAAAATACAATATATGAAAAACGTTTGTGTGGTGTTATGTATACTAGGGTGTCCCAAAAAAAAAGAATATTTTTTTTCTTCTCGTCTCTTGTAAAAATATGTTGGTTTGTCATGTTTTAAGAGCCCTGTCAAAAGATCAGCACCATTAAAAATTTTTTAGGGGTCGCTCAAGATTTTTAAAAATTACCAAAATCGTCAAAAATTGGATTTTTTTTTATTTTAATTTTTTTTCTCTTTCCGATATTATTTTTTAATTTAAAAATAATAATGATTCTGAAAATTTCAAATCGATATTTTAATTTCTAAAGGTCGCTCAAGATTTTTTTAACTTTCAAAGTAGAGTATTTTGAATGTTTTCGAGCGACCTCTGAATATAAATATCAACGTACTTTTAGCGACCTTTAGAAATCAAAATATTGATTTGAAATTTACAGAATTTTTATTATTTTCAACCTAAAAAATAATATCGAGACGAGAAAAAGAATTAAAATAAAACAAAAATTCAATTTTTGACCATTTTGAAAATTTTTAAAAATCTTGAGCGACCCCTACAAAATTTTTAATCGAGCTTATATTTTGAAAGGGCTCTCACAGCATGATAATCTAACATATTTTTACAAGAGACAAGAAAAAAAAATATATTCTTTTTTTTGGGACACCCTAATGTATACAGTGGTTTTACTAACCTTTATGTGTTAAAACAAAAAACCCTAAAAATATCTCACAAAATTCCCCAATATTTTCATGTTTTTTTTACGCGTTTAGTCACAGGGAAATGAAAAAATGTCTGCTAAAAACTCTAGCAGAGTCATTTTCGTAACTTAACTCTCACATGTATCTCGGTCTTTTTTGTTGGGTGGGGCTGCCCATGGTGACGTCCGATGGGCTGGCGGGCCTCTTGCAGTGGCGCGCCATCTCGCCGGTGATAAAGGCGCACAGATCGGTGCCGCGCGACACGCACGACAGCGGTGAGCCCGCCAGCGCTTCCCTAAACGTGTGAAGGTTGGAGTCGATGGGGGTGGACCCTGGAGGCGGTATCGGCACGTTACCTGGCGGCGGGGATATGTTGCGGGGCCGGGGAGACAATCTGGAACACAGCAACGCATTTTTCAGACTCGATAAATTTCAAGATTACAATTCATGTGTCCTATGTAGAGATGTAAAAAAACGGTTTTTTTTCAGATGTGAAAAAAAAATGAAAAAAAACCTAGAAAAAAACGGTTTTTTCTTGTTTTTTTTTCAAAATGAAATTTTGAATGAATATATTACATTTTTCATTATTGAAAATTTTGAACAAGACTAAAAAATTAAAGGATTAAAGGAAAATTTGTTTTGCGATTTTTCGAATAGCTGTATCTTTGTTAAAAATGGTCGTATTGGAGCCGTAAGAAAAGCAATCTGAAGCTTGAAGTTTATAGTTTTGAGATTTTTAGATGAAAAACGTGCAACGCTCAATTCTAACGAATACCGTAATAAAAAAATCGTTTTTTTTTGCTTTCTTTTATGGTCCACGGAATGTTCTGACTTAGCCACCATTGAATAAATGTTCTACAAAAATTTGCTATTTAAAAAAAAAAAAAAAATTTCATACTCTACCTACATAAATTTGAAAAATCATAAAAAAGTGCTTTTGGTAGCTTTTTGAAAAATCAAGCGCTGAATTCAAAATATTATATGTAGTTACTTTTTTTAGGACCAAATCAAAAGAAGCCCTTATTGGTCAAATCGATGGTTAAGGCGCGTGCATAGCGCGAGACTGTATTCCATTTACTAATTGTCATTTAGTGGCTAACTTTAGTCCATGGAAACATAAAAAATTAGGCAAATGGGACTAATTTTTGAAAAAAAACCTAAAATGTGAAAAAAAACCATTTGAAAAAAAAACAATGAAAAAAACCTGAAAAAAAACCAAAAAAAACGGACCGTTTTTTTTCAAGTCGCATCTCTAGTCCTATGCTTCTTTCCTGATTATTTGTTTTACAATACCGTATTTTTACACCAAAGGTATAAAATGCCGAGTGCCAAGTGCATGCGCCGTTCGAGTATCATTTCTCTTACAAATGCAAAACCCAAATGATGCTCGAACTGCGGTTTACCCTTTCGCCTTGTTGTTGCACTTGGTTCTGTATACCTTAAGCGTGAAAATACGTTATATGTACTATGCTCAAAACACAAAAGTCATGGCTTGATATTTGAATACACATAATAATTATTAAGGTTAGGTATCTAGTTATCTGCCAGTTAAAAATTCAAAATTTCTTATTTTCTAAAAAAAATTTAATAATACAATTTATATATTTTTTGTGTATAAAGGTCTTAATTTAGAACCAAGGTTTTAACATTTTCGAAAAAATTGAGCCTTCTTTTTTCGAAAAAAACAAACTAAAAAATGGTAAATTTTTAGAAAAGTTGACTTATTGACCATTTCAAGCGGAAGGACGCACAGTGTTTCAATTCTCGAAATTTTCGGCAAAATATCAAGGAGTAGTCGGATTCTCCTAATAATCCGTATATAGAGATTTTTGGGGTCGCTGATAACGAATCTGGAATCAGAATTTCAAAATTCAAAATGGTAGATCCAAAATGGCGGACATATTTGTCAAAAAATTGACGGAATAAATTGAAAATCACCATACAGGGTTTTTGGGGTCGCTGATAACGAATCTGGAATCAGAATTCCAAAATTCAAAATGGTAGATCCAAAATGGCGGACATATTTGTAAAAAATTGACGGAATTAATTAAAAACCCGGAAGATTCTTTTTAAAATGTAATAAAACATCTTTTTATAAAATAGCTTAATTTAGTTTATTATAATTACATTTATATGATATTATTTAATACCTACATATATATTAAAAAATATCCGTCACTGGATTCGCTCGTTGTATCATTAGCAGAGCATGGTAAACCATCAGAAGATAGCAACAGATTTATTGCTTCGCGGAACAAAGATTTGCTCTTTTTCGGAGCAATTTTTCTGAAGCTAGAAACATACGGGTCGGAAGATGCCATAAGCCAATGGAAATCATCTTCCATCGTTTTCTACCGAGAAACTTTCAAAATTTATTTATAAAATTTAAATAAAACAGATTTTATACTAAGTATTTTAAATTTGTATTATTTCTTTTACTTTTAATATTAAAATATTTTAGCAACGATTTCTTAATTCGCTAAAAAAAATTGTCAACACAAATAACCACAATTCAAATTTGACATTAACACACTACAATGCGCATGCGGAGTTGTTTTAACGCACCTACAAGAGGTGGGTTAAATATGTAAAATCGGTGTTAAATATCTTGGTAGTCACGAACGATTTACACAATGCGCTGTTGTAATAAACGTTTTGAGTTAAATCCGAGTAAATCGAGTAAACGTCATGGACGCAACCCAGAACTAAAAAAAAATCTTATATTTTGTAAAGCAAAAACACAGATACGCGCTCGACATAGGCTTAAAATCGCTAGGTTTTTTACCACAACCGTGCCTGAGCGCCCAAGAACATGTAGTTTTAAAGAGCCGGGGGCAAGTTGGGGCAGATAATTTATTGATGGCTTGATAGACAAAACTCTAAGCTATTCAACGGATCTTGGACTGTAGCTCCATTGTTCTAAAAGCTCGATTCAAAGTTTGCGATTTTAACAGACCGATCTTGTCGGTTACAATAACCCGATGTACAAGCAAAATCTACGAAAAACAAATACATATCTGAATTTTAGATACCTTGAAGATCACCCTTCATCAAACCGCATAACAATCGGACACACCAAACACAAGTTATTCACTTTTAAACAATAAACAATTTTCCGCAGCGATCGCGTGTAAAGTACCTTCAACTGAAAGCGTCAAGTTTAAACTGATGTACAAGACAAAATATACGTATTTTATATAATTTTTTTTCAATACAGGATGGAGACAGGTATTAACTACCCATCTAACTCAAAATTTACCTGAAAAAAAAATGTAAATTTTTGAGGTTTTGCCGATATTTTTCAGAATTGAAACACTTTGGGATGGGACAAATCACAAACCTTTTTTTATAAAAAAAAATTGTAAGAATTTATTATATATTATTTTTGCATAAAAATTGTCAAATATATTCTTCCTTTATTTTATAAAAGTAAAGATAATTTCAATATTTGACAGGTGTGGACGGGACAAGATAAATCTTTTTTTTGTCCTGTCCACACCTTTCAATTATTAAAATTATCTCTACTTTTATAAAATACTTCTTGCGTTTTTTTATTTAATGTATGACCTAATAAAAGAAGAATATTTTTGACAATTTTTATGCAAAAATAATATGTAATAAATTCCCTACAATTTTTTTTATAAAAACATTTTTGTAATTCGTGTGTTTCGAGCGCTTGAAATGGCCGTTTTGCATTTTTTCATTTTATTCAAAGGGTTATACAAAAAAATGCAAAAGTCAATTTTTATTTGACACATGGATTTATAAAATTATAATTTTACAATTTTAATTTATAAATCATTCATTTCTTTTAAATTAAAATAATGTTAATTGCTACTTTTATTAAAATGTGTAGGTATATTTAAACAAAACTTTTCCCAAAAAAGCCATTTTTTCAAAGTCCTGGGAGATAAACGAGAAAAAGTGTTTTCCACATTTTTTTCCGGTTTTTTTAAACCCCTTTTAGAACACAAAATATACATACAGTGTGACCCATTGAGACACCCCTGTAAAATCTTTTAACCGGATTTGTTTTAAAGTGTAGATTTTGATACACTGTATTTTTGGAGCAAAAAACGCCATATTTTTACAAAATACAAGGCCCTACTATGCCAGTTTTTTAAAGAAATTTTTTAGCGATTTTTTAAACAAAATCTAAGCATGGCACTGGATACACCACACCTCAAAACGATCCTATACTAAATTATATTGAATTTTAAGTAGAAAAATGCATAATAATAACTACAAAAATTTATTCTGTTATCCATGAAAAAACTGAAATAAAAATAAACTAACAGTAACATGGTTCTATTACTATAAGTTTAATTTCATTTCAACGTTTTTTTCAAGATATTCAGTTTTAAAAAACTGGCAACACTGTGTGTCAGATCAGCTATATTATTAAACATTAACAATTTAAATAATGCAGCTGAGCAAAGCAAGTTTTACAAATATATTTTATTACATAGTTTTTTTATATTAAAATTTAATTTTAATAGCTGTTTTAAGAAAAGAATAGTATATCAAGTTTTATAAACGTCATTTTATACAAGAATTTAATTTAGGCACGAAAGAGCTTGCGAGAGAGTGCTTAAATAATTGAGTGTCTAGAAAAGTTTATAAACGAGTTGCATACTATACTTTTTCTACGACAAATAGGTACTTATTATTATCTAAAAATTATTTAAATTAAATATTTGTATAGAGCGAGTAACCAACTTGGGAATCAAATGTCAAATTTTTATGTGTTATAAATCGAAATGTATCCCTAGAAAATTAATTAACAACAATTTTTCACAGTGAAAGTGTTTTATGAGCACTTCACGGTGGAGCCCGAAATTAGGTTAAATCTAGATTACTGCCGGCAAAATAAAAAGGTCAGTACAATGTTCATATAAACTTTTTAAATATTGGCGTTAAGAAACTATTTAATACTTTTGTATTTTTTTGGTATAGAGATAATACCTAATATTCATATTTAGTATTATTTTAAAAGAAAGGCACTTTATTCTAACGATTGTATGACATTTGACAACTGTCAACTAACTTAAAGCTAACTTCAGCCTGTGAATAAAACACCATAAAGCCACAACTTTTCAATGTGTATTTAAAAGGTCACTTAGTGTAATGGAAACATGTACGGTAATGGGTGTTTTAAAGGTGGGAGTAGAAAAACTAATTAAGGTTCTAAAACTAGCGGATTTTACTATTAGTAAAAAAACTGTATAATAGCCATTTTAGTTGAAAATGTAGTTTTTTTATAAGTCGCTATAAATAAGCTTTAATTGCCAATGTAAAAGTTTAAAAATTGGTCCTAATATACTTTTATCTTTTTATACTGTATGTCATTCTTGGGACACTGTATATTTTTGTTTAAAACTTATTTTAATATCATATATTGCAACCCCCAACCATTTTTGTCCAGTCTTCATAAAATCACAATAATCCTTTGTGTATAAAAGCATACCTGCATACAAAAGTGAAGCAGGTATAAGTATTAAAGTACTACCGACTCAGGTAAAAGTTTAAAACAGGTGCTCTCAAAAACGTATGCCCATATATCTCAAAAATTTCATACATACTTAGATTGGGTTTGAAATGGTAGGAACTTAGTATGTTTATTATTTATGAGTCATATTTTAAAATTAAACAAGGCACTTAATGATATCCGACTTATTCCTATTGGAAAATTACTAACCTGTGGTGGGAATGATGGTGATTTTGCCTACTTGGGGGTGGTGGTTTTCCAGATAAATATGCAAGTAAATCTTCTCTTCTTATCAACCTTCGTTTCCTTTTGGCCCAATTTAATAATTCGTTATTTCGCTTTTGATATCCTGATTGTCTTGCCAGTTCACTGGTCTTTTTTAATCCCTCACAAGATTCTAAAAACATTTAGATAAGTTAAAATGTTAATAATAATGTTTATATTATACCTTTGTATAATGACGTTACAGTCCCAGCTGCTGTCTGAAATTGTACCCAAATGGCTGCAGGTTCCCCCATATATCGATCTAGAAGAAAAAATAATATGTTTTAAGTTAAAAATGTTGACTGTACTTTTGTGATTTTCTGAAATATAAAAGCAAACACTTATAAAAACTATTGGACAAAATTAAAGCACAACTTTTTTCAAATTTCTATAAATTTTGAACAAACTTGATGGTGCTAATGGATTCGAAAGCACATAGGAGAATTTAAAAGACCTTTCTTGGATTTGTATACAGGGTGTTTCTTTCTTAAAATGGATAACGTAATAAAGGCAGTAAAATCTACAGTGAAGATCGCATCAAGACTTTTTTCAAATAATTTTAATAAGATTAACAACCTCAATTAGATTGTCCATTTTGAGTAAAAACAGCTTTATATGGACATGTAGTACAATATTTTGAATTATGAACGTATTTCAGAAAATACTAAAATTTAAAAACGTTTTGCTTTAATTTTTTCATAAATATTATCTTTTCCAAAGAGCAAAATAGGTATAGCAAAATATTAAAAAGAACACAAAACACTAAAATGTTGTGAATAGGCCAAAATCTAATTTTGTTTTTAAAATTAACCAAAGGTGTACAAGAAAAAAGTTCAGGAATCAGGAAAAAAGGTCAAAGTTACTTGGTATATAATATTACAAGTTTTAATTTAAAATAAAAAAATAGCTTAAACTTTAAGGTATTCTTGTGTTTTAAATTAATAGTTTATTATTTTCTGATAGATAATCACGAGGATGAGATTTGCGTCTTGAGTCGCCAGACGAAAATCTCAAATCATCCAAGTGAATAATACGCATAATCTCGAGTGTAATAATACTACTCCTATTGCATAATATTGTTTTTTTCGTGAATAATGATAAACATTATAAATTCCCTGCCTAACAACGGGAATAATGAACTTATTATTCACGTTGTTAGGCATCAATAATTGGCCGATTTTAATATTCACTGTAATTTGAAAAAACAGGGTTTAAATTGGGAGAAGGTGAATATAATGTCATCATATCTACTTATCTCTCGTATAATAATATACTATTATCTACTCAAATAAGTAATGAATAAATAATAAATAAACACTGACATCTGTCAAATGGTTAACCTCACTTTTTACCAATTTGAAATTTTATAATAGTCGCCTATTCCCAATTTAAAACCTGATTGGTTCAAATCACTGTTAATATTAAAATCAGCCAATCACTGATGCCTAACAATGTGAATAATGAGTTTATTATTCCCGTTGTTATAAAACTTTTAACATTATACCTACCAAGTTATTAAAGAAAATCCTGAACAAATGTACTTTATGAAAGAGAAAGTTAAATTCAATTATATTTTATTTAACAAACTACCAGGGTTTGGAACAATAACTCTTTATTGTCAAGAAGGCAAGCATAATTAACCCTTAACTGCCTCAAATTTTTAACACAGATTTTTTGTTTTTACATTTACAGGGATGGGGTTCCATAACTTCCCAGTGGATGTGTGTATTAATCAACACACAAAGTGTCATTTCATAAAAATAAGTATAGGTATGTGCCTTATTTTGCAAAATAGACTGTATAATGAAGTAAACCAAATGTCCTTGCATGTGTTATAAGGTAACTGCCCATAATATTATTTTGTCAAATAAGTTGTAAATCTTTAATATTTTATTTCATGTTTATTTTTCTAAAGAAAAACAAGTATATTTATTAGTGTGTCTGGGAGTTAAAACTTCACTAGTAATATACATTTATGTATATGTGTATAAACCTGTTGTATACATTGGATTGGATTAGTATTAAGCAGTATCCAGTATCAGTTTTTTTCCAAATTTCTATTAAAAAGTTTTGGGTCTTAAATGACTCGACGATAGCTAAATATAACGATACCAGGTTTAAAACATTTGATATACATACCTATAAAACAAACGTCAAAAATATATAGGTAACAATAAGAATGACCCTGAACTATAAATTCAGGTATAAAAACGAATAATTATTTCTTACATATGCTTTATATAAATAGGAATGTAGTAAAACGCTTGTAAAGCAAAAAAATTATCAAAATCTACAAGAAATCATAACCTAACAAAGAATCATTGCAGCCAGCTGATTTATAATCAATATGATGTGAACAAAATGGACGAAAACGCCTACTACCTTTAAAAAAATATTTAACTTGCCCCTGTATAATTGTGCAACAGCCGTGGCGGAGTCCTGAAAGGAATTCCATATTTTCGTATGAGAGTTATCGCACTCTTGCATTAATTGCTGCTCGTAATCGGGTTGTTCTTCTATGGAGTTGGCGCATTGTTCCTCCCAATTCGTCAGCCAACTTTCGTCTTCGTTTTCACCGTTCATTTTTGTGTTTTGTATCGGAATAAATTTAATCACAGTTGCACTTGAACACGTTAAATTATTATCGAAACGATCAAACTACGCGTTCCCGTATTTCAGCTGTGAACTGCTTTCGCCATTTTGTTTTGAACTGCTTTAAGATTGGCCGGTAATGCAGTTTCCATGTTTAACGACATTTTCTTTGTGATAAAATGCCGTTTTATTAAACTATTTTTAGTTATTTTGTTTTTTTATTAAAATTATAATATGAGATTTAAAGAAAAATTTAAAAAAATATATATATTTATATAATATATAATATATATGTATATATATTATATATACATAAATATTTGTATACTTGGTTGCATTTAAAAAAATATATATATTTATATAATATATAATATATATGTATATATATTATATATACATAAATATTTGTATACTGGGTTGCATAGTTTAAATCGAGAATTAAATTGAATCGATGAGATTAAAGCCTGATTGCCTTCCTTCCTTCCTTTCTCCCGTAGAAGATAAACAATATAATTCCGTATTGTTCATCTTTTACGGGAGGAAGACAATCTATAAATCAGGCTAAAGAACAGTACACAAAAAAAGTGCTCTTTTAGTTCCACCCTTAATTCCTAAGGAGTCCCAGAAGCCAACTGAATGGCTTGAGCGGGTTAGGGGTAGGAACGGACCGCGGGCTTAAAGTACCCTCCCCTCCCCAACCGCTATACTGGTCACGTGCGAACCAGATTCAAATGTTACAAACAGTTTTTCATAGGCATACGCTATGCATGGGTGTTTTATATAAATATTACGATTTATTTTGAGTTTTTTCAGAAATTATTGTGCTTTTCAAAGCATAAGCCACGCACGATGGTTTTGCAACGTTTTTCGTAAAGTTTTTACTGCATTTATTGAACACAAGTAACTATTTACAAGGTATTTATAAACCACGCACGTGTGTTTTATACCAGGTTATTTATTAATTTTGTGTTAGCCCACCCTATCCCTTACGTGAGATTTTAGCCATTAAACTTTCTTTACGGACAACTACAAGTATTTATTATATATTTCTTTAATAATAACATAAAATTAATATATATTATTGGCCCAATGTTGCTTTATAAGCTTGAACTGTTAGATTTCCCAATAAAAACTTTATTATTTGTACCAACTATGTGCAGAATAAAACAATTGCATATATCAATTTTTACTTTATTTTTGCCATATTAGGCTATCTGGGTAGATACTCATAAAAGTAATCTTACAATATAAATTTATAAAAATACATTTTTATTCATAAACTTCTAGCAGCAAAAAAGCTGACAAATAAAAACTGAAAATACATAAATAAATAAAAAAATACTCTACTAACTAATCGTATATTACACTCACTTAAATAGTCATAAGTATACTTAAAACTACTTAAAATTAAGAGAGTAAAGTATTTTTACACTTGGACTCAGTCATATCAATAGATTTTTGTACATACATATTGTTAAAAAAATATTTTTAATAAACATTGATATTTAGTATACAACTATTTTCAAATAAAATAATAATAATTAAAACTATCTACTTATTTGTTGTTTGGGTAAAATACTTAGCCTTGAGCAACAAAAATATTTTTATTTTGTTTAAAATTTGGTTTTTTATTTGAAAAATTCTGGACACCAAAAACGATTGCAATTAAATTTTTAAATAATGAAACACCATTTTTCAAATAAAAAAACAAAGCACTACCATGATTTTATGGAAGACAATAACATTGCTCAACAATTTGTTGTAGTATTTTCTTAATAATTATATGGTCCATATGCACTTCCTTGCGTATAATAGGGCCCGCCAGGGTAAGGTTGTGGGGCCGCCACTGGATAACTTGCATAGGCGTACTGCTGTTTTTGAGGATAAACTAAAATTAAAAAAAAAATAGTTATTGATTAATCAAAAGTTTGTGGTGCATATGAAAAAATGTGCATATTAAACTAATTATTAGTGGAGTTTTGTATGAATTTAGTTTTTTACAATGCTTTTTTAAGAGAATGATACAAAATATATATTTTTTTAATAATTTTCATACAAGCTAAGCAAAGCCAAAGAAGTATTTTTATTTACAAATTTAGTAATAAATATATTTATTAAGTTAAAATAAAATAGGTAGGTAGTAGGTTTTTGATATAAATTTAAGGTTAAAATTTGTAGGTAGGTATTAGGGTGGCCCAAAAAAAAAGAATATTTTTTTTCTTCTTGTCTCTTGTAAAAATATGTTAGTTTATCATACTGTAAGAGCCCTTTCAAAATATCAGCTCGATTAAAAATTTTGTAGGGGTCGCTCAAGATTTTTAAAAATTTTCAAAATCGTCAAAAATTGAATTTTTGTTTTATTTTAATTCTTTTTCTCGTCTCGATATTATTTTTTCAAAATACTCTACTTTGAAAGTTAAAATAATCTTGAGCGACCTTTAGAAATTAAAATATCGATTTGAAATTTTCAGAATCATTATTATTTTTAAATTAAAAAATAATATCGGAACGAGAAAAAAAATTAAAATAAAAAAAAATTTTGGTAATTGTTAAAAATCTTGAGCGACCCCTAAAAAATTTTTAATGGTGCTGATCTTTTGACAGGGCTCTTAAAACATGACAAACCAACATATTTTCACAAGAGACGAGAAGAAAAAAAATATTCTTTTTTTTTGGGCCACCCTAGTAGGTATATATATAATTTAAATTAATTAAATTATTTAATCGTTTAAGTTGCGATAAAACAGTACAACAACTATTTTCTATACTCCACATAACACCTCATGCATTTCTTTTTAATAACAATCCCAGAAAAAGTAAACCTTTTAAAACAAACTGACAGAAAGGTACTTGTGAGAAAATTTCAAAAACAAATCACAAACGGTGTTTAAAAATCGATCAATCAAATTTGCATGCAAAAAATAAACTTTCAAACATGCAAGATCTGGATTTGTTAGTGAAAGGTTTTCCTCACAAAGCCATGCAAATACATCATTGACTTTTTTGTTCTATATGATAAAAAAGTCTTTACCTACTCGTTTTTTTTTACAAGTTGAATTATAAATTCGAAATTTGACAATTTTTTACTATTTTGGTAATAATAATTGTATTATTTACTATTTAAAACAATACCTAGGCGTTTTCAGAAACATACATTGCAGTGGGGCGTCGGTTACCTACCGGGTGACAAAAATCAATTAAATAGAAATCGAAGCTTACTTACTCGAATTAGTTAACTTAAATAAATTATAATGAAAATAATGGAATTAAACAATTAATTCGATTTTATATAACATTTCAGTGGTCATTTAATCCTTACCTAAACTAAGTACACTAATTTGGTATCATTTTTATTTTTATGATTTTTACAAAAACACTATAGATTTATGAAAAATTCGAATTTTAAATCCACTTGCGCTTCAAATTTTTTTTTTTAATTTAAGATTTTTTAGGGTTGTTACTGAAGTAAAACCACAACCTTTGACACCCATACTATATAGTACCGTATAGACTATACGGTATAGTGCACAAGCAGGTACAATGACCATAACTTTGACTATGGATAACCTTAGATAGGTAATTTTTTTTATAAATTGGTAAGGATTCTTTTTTGTAGAGCTTTTAATTTAATTTAATAATAAAAGTAATAATAAAAGTAAAAAAATCCAATGTTATTTAAATGGAAATTTATCTTGTTTTTGGCCAGATTTAATATTAGTATTTCGAACTTTTTTTGGTTTTATATATTTTTTAGCGCATAAACTAAAAATTTAGGGGCGCTGTTGGTAAATAACGAACACCCTAGTAAACATGTATGAATACAGATCACTTCGATGACTTTTTGCCAAAGTATCGCAAGCAACATAACCAAAATTTCAGAAATTGAAAACATTTTTTGTTTTGAAGTCTGTTTTAAATTAAATATAGCTTATAGGTTTTATAACAGGTAAATAGCTTATAATTATGGTTATTTACCTGTTATAAATTATATATATATACAGTAGTTTAAAACAGACTTTAAAACAAAAAATGTTTTCAATTCCCCAAATTTGAGATATGTTGCTTGCGATACTTTGGCAGAAAGTCATCGACTTGATGATTACATGAGGTGTTATTACTATAACAATTATATTTTTTTGCAAAGCATAGTATGATTTGTTCGACTTGCTTTTTTTATATGTACTGACCTAGATTAATCTAGAAAAAGCGTTTACATGACCATCCAATTGGTCAGCTGAAAAAATTGATATTGCGTTTACATTTGCACAATAAAAGTGGCAACAATAAAAGAAAGTCAAGCGCATCGTACCTATGCATTGCAAAAAATTATAATTGTTATAATTATTACACATTATTTAACAAGTGCATTTTATGTATTCTACAAGGGAGACATATGTAGAGACTTTTGTAGGTATATACCTACCAATGTTTCCGCTGTGTTATTGTGAACTGCAATAAACTTGGGTTATAAAAACACAGAAAAAAATTTCATAAATACTTTTCTTCGCATTTTATTTTATTATTAAAATACAACATCTCAGAATAATTCCACATAATTATTTTTATCGCTATAGGTAGGTATACCATTTCTCTGCTGAAAGTCTTATAAGTCAGAATAACTCTTCCAGAAGACTCCCAAATCCTGTTATTAGTCTGACTTATTCTATGTTTTTCCGACTTAATAAAGCTTATTCTGAGTTCTTAATAAAAAGTTTGACTTTTAAAACTCTTATTTTTACTTAATAAAACTTTTTCGGAGAAAAATTTTCAGAAGGGAGGGTTACAAAATATGACAATCTTTTTTAAATAAAACCGCCAAACATGTAAAATTAATTTCATGTTTTTAAGATTCTGGGAAATGCAATTTAAAAACAAGAACTAGTGTAATACTATTAAAAAATATGTTGTATTTATTTCATTTAGGTATTTATAAATACGACGCACACGGTTTACCGAAAAAAACATAAAACGAAATTATGGAACAAGGACAAAATAATAATTAAACGTTATACAAATACGGTTAACTTGTTACCCTGCTTGCAGGCAGGGTTAGCAAATTACTTACTCGATCCCTTACCCCAGTAAGTTTACAAACAAGTGATCGGGAAAGTAAACAAACGCCAGGTTTACTTACCCGGGTGACAGATCTCTCAACCCAGAGGATTTCCAAAAACGAATAATGATTTTACAGAAGAAAATATTTTCAAACAATTGAAATGTGTAGATACATGTATTTTTCACAGTGGCGGCCCGTCAGGGGGAACAGGTGAGGCAGTGCCTTATCATAGAGAATTAAAAAATTAAGTATAATTTAAATATTTTACTTTCTATAATATACTATAAATTTTTAATATTTGGATTACATGAATTGTGAAATAGTCAATAAAATTGACTGATTTTATACGTGGAATACCCAGCAACATTTAAATTATTTGAATTTGAAAAGACCGCAATTTAAACTAATATTTATAGCTAGATGATTGGCTCAGAAGCATGCCTGAACTAATTTAGACTCACGATTGGCGTTAGCCTTGTTGTCTCGTTCTATTACAATGCGATATCATAGTTATCTCCTTCTCTCGTATTAGCATACGCGAGGCAGGCACGCCTACATCCAAGGAAATAAGCAGGTGTTGTGGCAACACTGTTGCGGAATTTTAGATAAATTATACTTCACACGTTTTTCAAAATTCAATAAAAAATGGTATTATTTTTCTTATAATAAATCGATTTAATCGAAATTATATTCTATTCTAAAATTAACATATTTTAACACTTTCGCCATCTTGTAGCCATCACAGTAACCAATAAAATAAATACAGATTCCTTCTTTAGGTTAACAAAATATTGCGTAAATAACCACAGATTTGTTCTTTAAACAGTTCAGAATTTTATAACCAAAACAAATTTGTTTTGGTTATAAAATTCTGAACTGTTTAAAGAACAAATCTGTGGTTATTTACGCAATATTTTGTTTATTCTTTTTCTATGAGTTTGTCTATTTTATGATTCTTTTGTAAGTGGTTTATTCTGTGGGTTTAGTTAATTGAACTTGGTGATTTATGTGAATTTAGTCATTATGGAAATTACGGTAAGAAATTGTACCGATATTTTTTACCTTCATGTGGTTCTTGCTGAACAATGAAATATTAATTAGACAAAAATTAGGTTTATTTAAAATAAACGTCATTTTTACAATAAAATATATTTCATTGACAAAGTAGAGGATTCCTTCCCCACCACAGACTTAAGTTTTTTTAAGTTGGGTTTAAAAAAATTTCTTTGCCTTTAAATGAGGGCGAAACCCTGCCTTTGCCTCACCAAAATGAAATGTCACGGGCCGCCACTGATTTTTCATATTATTTATAATGGACTTTCTAGATATACAGTTTGCCCCCAGATAGATGAAATGTAAACAATTCTCGATTTAAATTTTTATTTTTTGGGGTTCATCCCTGCTTGCATGGGTACAGACTAATTTTCAACATAATTTCAAAGTGTTATGTTGCCGATATGAGCAAAAGTTATTTAGAATCATCATCTAAGCCCATATACCAAATTTGAAAATCCTGGGCCAAATTTGTCAAGATACCTTTCTGGTAACAGATGCGTCTAAAAGTTGTTTGGAAAAGTTACTTAAAATCCAAATCTAGGTCCGCATCCTAAATTTCAAAATCCTCAGCCAACTTAGATCTCTTCCATTTTCTTTTGTTTATTTCTTAAATTAAAGAATTTGAGATTCGGCTTAGATTTTGGAGTGATCAAACAAAAGGCAATAAATACATCTTTTAAACCGTAATAAATCCAATATTTTTTACGAATAACTCGTCACACAAAAAATAAATTTAAATTTAATTTATGTTCCCTCTGAGTCAGAGGCTCTATCTAGATTTTCACAAATTATTCTAAATTCACTGAAAGTGGATTTATTGCTTTTTGTGATCGCTCCTCATCCGATGTTTATATTTCTAATCTGGCCTTTTTATAAATTATCACGGTTATTATTATTAATATTAATAACTTATTTTTATAATAAAATAAATATTATTATCTTTAACTCTGGTTCTAAGGTTACCAGCCACTTAAAGTATTCTTCATCAATATGATGTCTTCAGGTAGTCCAACTCTATTCTAGAGATTGAGAAGGCAAAAAGAAAGCTTGTAGACTAGCGTTAGGACCAGAGTTAAAGATTGCATCAGAAAAGATTAACATCACTGAAAGAATATGTTACGTGGAACAAACTGCATATAATAACATACAGGTTTAAAAAAAAATTGTAGTAAAAAATATTGAATATTTGAAAGGTGTCCCCTGTATATTAAAAAAATAACATGCAATGTTGTCAGATTGTGCAAAACTCACAAAATCGAAACTTTTGTGTGCATGGGGTTTATTTGTGAGTGATTTAACTAGAGTATAGAAAATATTAGTTGGTGAAAAAGGAGATAGATGTAGAGAGTTAAGAAGAGTTACCAGGCATTAGATATTGCATGTTGATAGCTTCTTCGCGTTCCCTTTCACCGCGCAGGCACATCGCGCTGCCACTGAACAAAATGGCGGCGATAAGTGACCAGCCAACTCCGACCCACGCTAACATGTAGCTCCAGTCGTAGTTAACTCTGCAATTATCCCTCAGCACCTACCAAAAAAACAAAACATTAACTAACCTGGCATAATGTATTGTACATTGTTGAGTTGTTCTTTGTCTTTTTCCGTGAACAGACAGCAGGATCCGAAGAAAAATAGCAGGGATGCTCCCAGGCAGCTGAAAACTCCGAGCCAAGCCAACACGAAACTCCAGTCGTACATAACGTCGCTATTTTCTTGAAGAATCTAGATTGCGGGGTGAAGGCAAATGTTTTTAGATGCAGTAGGGTTTCTTAACAATGAAACTTTATTTTTTATGCATACATTTTAGAATCTGTACATTTGTAAAGTTAAGTATTTTATGGACAATTTATAGATTTTTGACAAGTTTAAGCAAAATATGGATGTTTTATAATTATTGGAGTATACTGTATGTGTCCTGACAATGAAACAATTTTAATGACTTAAACATTTTTAAAGTAATCGGTGATTGATGTTTATAAACACCTATAGGTTTATATGCAAACTATATTTTGTAAAATTGTAACTAGTAAGCTTTCCTTATAAGGTTTCTTAAAAGTGACACTTGAAAAGTAATTGCTGTTGCTGTTGTTTGATATCACATTTAAGATCTTACCACCCTTGTAAAATTTGCATTTTTCAACCGATTTTCGTAAACTTTTTTGTTGAAAAAGGCTCATTGCCAACTGTGACCTTTTTTGGGGGTCGAAATTTCGAAAGGGTACGGCATTTTTTATTTTTTGAGAACAAAAAAAGCAAGGACTATGAGTAAAATTAAAACTTTTTTTTTTATTTACATAAGAGCGAGTAATAAGCCGTTCGGTGATCGGAACACTCGACTCGGACATATGTTTTAATTTAAGCAATATTTAAACTTTAACTCATCTAGTGATTTAATTCTAAGTTATTAGTTATTGCTGGAGTATGGTTTTGCTCTATTGTTAAAAATTATATTAAATATTTAAACCAAAATTTGCATTTTTTTTATAAAATAATAAATTTAATTTTAATAACGATTATAAAAAAATATTTTCTATTATAAAAACCCCCTGCCTTACTACAAATTATTAAATTTAAATTGCAATCAGGGCATTTAATAAATACTAAAAAGGTTTTTAATAAATACTAATTATTAAAAAGTTGTATTATTATATAAATTTTATTATTAATTATGTTATAACCTCCCCCTACCCTTACCCAAAAATTATTAAATTTTCAAAATGAACATGGCAAGATGGGTATCTTTTAAAAGGTCCTAATACCTAATTTATTTTAATTTTATAAACTACCCTATATGGTACAGTATACTGTACAGTACAAATTAATTAAAAATAAATTTAAATAGGAAAATAAACATTGCAAGCTACCCAGGTATTTATTAAAATGTTTATTATTTTATAAAATTGTCTCGTTAGTTTCATGTTCGATGTTTCGGTTATCTTTTTTTCGCAAACTTCAATTTAAATTCTGCTTGCGCAGAACTTGTTTATTTAATGTCATTTTAACTCATATAAATTTGGTGTGGGTCCCATATCTAATAATTGAGATATCGGTATACCCAAAATCCATCAGCCGCCACTGATGTGTGGTAGGTATTATTTGATTTTAAGATATTTAATGTATAATATGCTCAAAGTTGCAATAAATCTTATATTTTCCAATAAATTATGTATTTAATTAGTACCCTGGTATACTCGTCACTTCTCTTGCATTCAAATTTAGAAAACACAGATATTTCGGAAACTGTTTGAAAAAGTGACTGGCCCGGTCTGGAATAGTATATTTATTATATTATCTATGTTCTCATAACAAAATACTGTTTAATTTTCTCCGAAAACTCTATAAACAAAATGAGGTCAAAAGTTGACCAACTTTTGTAGAATCGCCCATATAAATCTTTTGGGGATTAAATCTCCAAAAGAGTGGAAGTGTTTTGCTACTATTAGGTATTAAAGCGGCATACTCATCTGGAGAGTAATATTTCGTAGATTAAAATAGGTTTAAATCTAAATTTAAATTGTCACTATTTCTGATTGGTATAGTGGGGTTTTAGTGGTCCCGAATAAGAACTCGTGGTTACTTTTTCTCTGAAAAAATCCCTAATATTAGGTGTTTTCCAAAATTTTGAACCCAAAAAGAGATCACAGTTATAACTGACTAAAGCCATAAGTTTAGTCGTCAGTCTTTTTCAGAGATCTGTCCAGCTAAAAAAAGTTGACGAAAATAGGTTAAATATACAAATTTTACGAGGGTGGTAAGGTCTTAAGGTGGACACACTATAAAACTTTTAAACAAGGTTTCTATAAAATGTCAATTGACAAGATGTCTTTCGAATTTTTATAAATAGCGATTATTTTATTGTATTTAAGTAAATATTGTTTTTACCTCTGTAAAAGTAAATATATGTTACTTATCTTATTTTTAACTTACATTACTCCACTGTTGGTAAAATTCTTCGCCGACAACTTTTTCTTTTTCGTAATATTCGACTCCGTGCCATAATCCCATCGCACCAGCGCTAAGTAAACCTAAAAAGAAGTTTGTTTTTTTAAACCATGATCAACTTTTTCCATAAAATAATGGTATTGATAAAAATTGTTTTATAGGAAAAGAAGGTAGAAAAACGAAACCTTATCTGCCGCGTCGCTAGTTTGGTATGTTAATCGTTGGGTGCTTACAAGGCTGATTCCTTGGACATTTTTGTTTAGCAATGGAGCCACCGAGGTGGATTTAATGCTATTGCACAACTTTGTCCATTATGAATTTTGTTTTTTTTCTTGCTTCCTTTTTCATTAGAATATTCTAATTCGAATTTCTGATAGATTTGACTTTGTTAAGTATCTTGCTTTTTTAAATTTTCATCTTGGCAAGTCCACCAAGTGGTTTTTGATCTAGTGAAACTTAATGTAGGTAATTGAACAGGACTGCTCATACGATGCCATAATAATTTCCCGCATGTCAAGAACAGTCCTGTTCAAACTTTCATGTCATTAAGTTTAGTCGGTATAGGTAGACTCCAAGCCCTCAGACAGTGTACTTCTATAGAGAACAGACATTAGGCTTTATAGAAGACTTCTATTATAATAGAAGTCTTCTATAAAGCCTAATGTCTGTTCTCCCGGGGGTTCTATACCTACACCTACTAAAATGATCCATAACGATAATAAAAAATTATTATTATTATGTTCGTTAAAATAAAATATTATAATTAAAAATAGCAACCAATGTTTTAAATAAAATTCCAAAAATATCTTTTACAAAGAAAATAAGCATTTAAATAACCACAAAACCGATACCTTGACTATAAACAAAGCGGGGCAGTCATTGAATATGCAAGACGAATTTTTACTTAGGCTTTCACGTTCCTTGCTTTCTTGCTTGGATACCTAATAAAGAAATTAACTGTATAATAGAGGTTCGCTGACCTTAAACCTCAAATTAGTTAATTTGCTACGATTTTTTTCGCCCAGCAAAAAAATAATCTATTAAGGTGATATATATACAACTTCTTAACAAAAAATTCTTGAACTATTATAGTTCAAGAATTAAGAATATTATAATATATTATATTTTATTACCTGGTTGATTTTATCCGCAATCATAAACCAGGTAATAATTAAATTTTGTATGTGTAATTCCTACCATTTTACCATTAAGACTAACTGGTTTAAGTAATTCCGAGTTCCAGTTTATTACTTCTTAAATTCCTAGAGAAAGGTAGCGGAAATCGTTAATACGTTTTACCTAATAACATTCAACGATGCCTTAAAATATTTTATACATTTAATTTGACCTAACACAAAATTAAATAATTGCCAAAATTTAAAACTTTCTATAAAAATATTTCTTGTTGTTGTCAAAGAATAAAACTTTTTAATGTTCCCTGTATTTTTCTGTGGTTTTATTACGTAGGTAGGTGTGTTATTTGAAATTTAAGTTTTGGGAGTTTTGTACATGGTGTTCCAAAAAATATTCTTTAGGAATATGTGTGTCTTATAGGGTTGGGCGATGATTTAAAACAATGTTTCAAAACATTTCAATGATTCAGTGTTTCGATACATCGAGCTATCGAAGCACTGCTCACTGCGGCGGAAAATTACTGCAATTCATGATACACATTTATGTGTATCGTGCTGCAATTCTATCGATTCTATAGCGGAGTGAACCGAATAAACGAACATTAGAGTTGGGCAGTGAGTCAATGATTCATAAAAATGTTTTGTATACATTTTGAAAAAGCTACACTGTAGCGAAACTCATCCGTACAATAAAACGTAATAGCCTACTTAAGGTAGTCAATGAGTCACCCTGTAGTTTGTCTTGTCTTTATTTTTAAATTTTAGTGGCTGTGTTTTTTTAGATTTTTTTATTTTTCTTTATTTTGACGTCAAATGATTTTCATTATTAAATAGATTTTTTTTATCATTTTAGGTAGTTTTTATGATTTTGTTGTAAAAGGTTTCATTATAACAATATTTTTTATTTTTAATTGTATTTTTTTATTTTTTAGATTTTTTTTGAGTTACGATATTATCATGATTGATAGGTAAATGTTAAAACGTAAAGCCCAATAAAAATCTTAATTATTTATACACAACTTTTTACTTATAAGTACCTATAGGTAATTGAACATTTATCATGATACCATTACAGTCCCTGTCCACGATTTTAATAATTGTTCAATCACCTTTATGAACTTTCCTTGATTAAATTAATCAATACAGGAAGTTCCAGGAAGTGGCGGCTGGTGGATTTTAAGTATACCAATATCTCAGTTATTAGACATGGGACCCACACCAAATTTATAATAGTTTATATTGACATTAAATAAACAAGTTCGGCGCAAACAGAATTTAAATTGAAGTTTGCGAAAAAAAGTTAGTTTTTCCTGTCGCCTACCCTGCCTCCAGGCCCCCCTATTTGAGATAATTCAAATTAAAGTGATGCAATTTATTATCTACTATAATTTATCGACAAATTTAAAATTTTATTTAAAAAATCCAAATGTTACAGTTTTTTTACCATTTTAAATATTTTTTTATTTTAATAAAATAAATAATAAAAATTTAAAATCGAATAAAATCTGTAATATTTGGATTTTTTGAATAAAATTTTAAATTTGTCGATAAATTATAGTAGATAATAAATTGCACCACTTTAATTTGAATTATCTCAAATAGGGGGGCCTGGAGGCAGGGTAGGCGACAGGAAAAACTAACTTTTTTTCGCAAACTTCAATTTAAATTCTGTTTGCGCCGAACTTGTTTATTTAATGTCAATATAAACTATTATAAATTTGGTGTGGGTCCCATGTCTAATAACTGAGATATTGGTATACTTAAAATCCACCAGCCGCCAATTTTAAAGTTTATTAGTTCCTGTCAGGAACTAATAAACTTTAAAATTGCATTAATTTATTAAATTTTTACAGGAAATCTTGTAACTAGGTATGTGTTAATTGAGTTTAAATCATGTTTCAAAATTTATTAACGCAGTGCAAAATTCGCACACCAAAATAAATGTGAGGAAATTTTTAGCAAGTTTCTATAAAAAGCAGATAAACATACAAGATTAACCGTGATATTTTTCTTTAAGTATTTAGTAGATATTAAATAAACGATTTTTTTTTACCAAAAAAGGTACTCATTTAAAAAAATATTAGAAAATTCTATTCAATTAGAAAAAATTAGGTTTATATGATAAATAAAGAATATATTGAGAAAGCATATAAATTATTACCTAGGAGCAAGTGATCCTAACATTAATATTAATTGTGTAATTAAATTTCTAAAGATTGTTTTTTCTTTGAAATTAGATTAGTACTGTAAATACAGTTAAATGAATTCCAAATAAGTTTAATATTAAAAATAAGTATAAAACGTTACTTACATGCTAACAACATCAATATGGCAGTGGCTGTAATATTTCCTGGGGATCTTCTCCAACATCCAGTTACACCAGTACAAAAAGCAGCGAAAACTGACAAAAATGATATTATGAATAGGGCTATCATGGAACGACCCATATCTGAAAGAAAAAAATCCAATTGTTTTTAGAAGTTCTCACATTCCAATAACAAACTTTCAAATACCTATATCATGATAATAAAATGTAAATGAGCCCAATCAAAATTTGAATACCGTTACTTTCAGTATTCTTTATAAATTTGTCGTTGATGTTAACAAGAAAAGCATAACAATTTTTTATTACAATGGACAAAAAGACCTTAAAAATGTTAACCTAATATTTAAAAGCACGATTTAGGTTATTGTTAAATTTTTTGTTTAAAAAAATACTTTGTAAGCGTAAAAATTTAAATTTAATTCTTCCTTTTATACGTTTTGAATGCAAAAAATGATACTTACGTAGTCTAGTCCAGGCGTCCTCAGTGAAGTCTCGGGTTTCATTATTTTCATCAGGTATATAATAATTTACATTATTACAGTGGGTCTCAACAGGACTAAGATAAGTTTTTACTGAAAAAAAAATTCAATATTAAAAATTTTCAAATTAAAAAAACAAGTTTTCATATTAATATGTAATAATTATTTTTAATTATTAGTAGGTAATTACATTTTGACATGTCACCCTGGACGTGATTTTTTCAGGCATCCCAAACAAACCTTTTAATAGAATATTTATTTAAAGTTTTTGTAAAAAATGATATCAGTGATAACGGTCATCGGTAACGGAGCCCACTCCACGTCTAACTCGCAGCAGAGCAGCAGCAGCAGCCCAGCAGATAAGACCTGAAGATGGTACATGAGATTGTACCGAAAAGACGTCAGACACGATTTTTTAAGAACCAAAAACCGACAACACGGAGCAGATCCCGGAAAACCATCAATACATACATTATTAATATTATTATTATTTTATAATAATAATTACACAGACCCACAAAATGTGCCCTTAGTCTGGTTATGAAATGATGTGATATGTGTTTTATGTGGTTTTAAATTGTTTAGTAGATCATCTCAGCACAGGGCCCCAAGTTTTTTCTAGCGAACTTACTTATTTTGAACTTGTAAGAAATTTAATTTCTTAAAACAAAACAAAACTCAATGCAGTCCAAGATAAACAGTTATTAAATATAATGATAAACTTTGTTCTAATTTCTAATGGAAGTCTATTGCAGCCAGGGGCTCCCAAATATTAAAAATATTTTCTAGTTTTAATATTTTGTTTTTTTTTTTAGCATGTTATTTTTTACTCTAGAAACTCTCTGCGGTATTTTTTCTTGAATCAGTTTACATTTATAAATTTATATATAATTTATAAATTTATGGTAAAGCTCCGGACTTTTAGGCAAGAGGTCGTGTCTAGTATTTCGTAAAACGCGTTCGTACAGCTATCGCTGTTCAAATTTATAAAAACAATCAATATTCTACACGTGATCTACCAGAACCAAGTGCAAAAAGGGTGTAATTTGCGGGTGGCACCTTTACCTGCATCAAGTCCCAGAGTGATCTACCTGTGTAAGACGGTGTGAGGGAGGTGAATGGATACATCGAATAACTTTTCCTGGATTACCAACCCAGAAACAACACGTGCTAATAGTGGGCGGTCGAAGTTAAGGAACTCTGCATAAACTGGATAAGTAAAATTAACAAAACTGCATGGCCTAAATAATACCCAAATACTAAAATTGAATGCGAAATTAGGTAAGTAAATTAAGTAACACACAACTTCACCAGAAAAAATTAATGGTCGCCAACATTTCCCACAAAAACAGCATGGCCAGGAACTCATAAAGAACGTTAACATAAACATTAATAAATCAATCAGAAAAACAATAAGCAAAATCCTAAAGAAATAAACATCAGTAAATTCCAGGCACACTTAAGTTGACCATAAATAAGGTAACCAACCAATGATGACGTAATACGTCTATGCGTAACCGCACGGTGGGGTGCAATGTCAGCAAGCTTGGAACAGGCTCGGACACCGACGAACATGAAGTACTAAAAGACCAGCAAGGATAGGTCCTAGCTACGTACTAATAATAAATGACGTTATTACTAAATACCCGGTTGAGGGGGACTCCGGATTGTAATTAGTTTTGGGTCAGTTAAGTGTCCCGCAAGAACCAAAATGTTTTCCCTCTTGTTCCCACACTCCCGGCGACAAAATTCCGGTAAGATTTACCTGCCGGGGTGAACATTCGGATCCACCAAACACAGGTAACGCGGCGGTTTAAAAAAAATACCATATTTTTGTCCCTATTTAGGATGATACTCTGACTTAGAAAAATTTGAAATAACCTAAACCCCCCACTTATGAACTGACTATTTCCCCTCAAAAAGAAAATAAGGTCATCTATACAAAATATACCGAATAAGCAGTATATGTGTGGAAGTAGGTATGTGGTGTGGCCAATAAGAGGATATTTATTTGATTTGATGATATATTTTCTGGTTCTAAAATATTTGGAGTGGTTTTACAACTTTTCCATAAATCCTGTTTTATTTAATAAAATTGGGGCCATTTTTGAAATTGAGAGTAATTTGTGAGTAGTCACAAACTTTTAAGAGTAAACTGATAAAATTAGTTGGCAATAGAAGTTGTATAGGCCAAAAAACTAAAAAAAAAATATCTATTATATGAGGAGTTTTGAGATAATCATGTTTAAAGTAAAAAACACTTGTAATTTGAAGTCAAAATTGTTTGTTGTTTTATGACTTTGTTTTTCAAGATGTCTAAGCTTAGAATTCAGTTATATCTCTCTGATACCAAGTAAAATGTACGATTTACTATCTTTTTCTGTACATAAATACATTTTTTTTTAAATGTCATGTATCTCTTGGCTTCTAGGGTCCTCATATATAATAGGTATATTTGTATATAGTAGTTTGGACTTTAAATTATTTATTCACCATTTTATTTTAAGTAAATTGTGTAATTTAATTGGAAATTTTTTAATATTAAATTGTTCGTACACAACTGCAGTTCTTCTCACGTTTTTTATTAGCTTACCTCATGCACAAACTATGCAAATATAACTAATCAAAAAAAAAGTTATCCAGAAATAAAACCTCTCGATCGACTATAGTCGTACAGTATACTGGTAAAAAATATTAAAGTTGTTTTTTATTTTATCTAGACCTTAATCCAGGAACATCGTTTTTTTGGTATTGTAAAATACCTATGTACATAGGTATTTTACAATACCAGTACAAAAATAACGTGTTTTTTTGAATCTCGACAACAAATTCGGAGAAAAATACAATATTTTTTTAGGTGCGCTTTGCTCAATACTTTGGGGTAGGGAAGGGACTGTACAAAGTACAATACCGTACAGTACCGTTCCGGCAGATCAAAGTGGTCAACTCCTATGGATTTAGTGTCGCTGAATCCAAATCTGAAGCCGAATTTTTCGATTTAGCTTTTGTTTTTTTTTCTTACCTACTTCAAAAAAATGTTATATCATGTTTCTCACGTTGGGAAGAAAACAAAAGCTAATTACAAAATTATTATTGCATAACTACCTTAAACTTAAAAATAAACAATTAATAAGTACTTAAGGTAGTTGTCGTGCTATAAGCATACCATCAGAAAATTTTGAATTTTTGTATACTTATTAAGGACATGACAATACATATATCCTTAAAATTTGAAGTCGATTGACCGTCTATAACCCGAGATAAATTCAATTAAAAATTGGATAATTAACATGGATTGTATAGGCTTTCTGTAGTTCTGTACCAGTTTCTTAGTTATACAGAAAAAACTAACTGTCAGAAGCTTTCAAAAAACTAACATTGTTTTAATGTATTTTTGCTGAGTTTAAAAAAAAATAATTAAAAATTTTTGACCGTCCAATTGTTTATAAATAACCGTTTAAAGTTCAACAATTTGTAAAAAGTATACATCACTAGTGTCAGATAAAAACAACTTGGCAAGGCTGTACGCGAGTATAGATATAATTTCCGCAGTAAATTCAAACGTCTGATTCAGTCTCCAATATATCTATTGGTTGAGCATAAGCGACGTTGCCGGATTAAAACTTATGAAAATATTTGAAAGTATTACGTAAAAATAACGTCTCCAGGGTACAGTCTTGCGAACAAATTATGAATCACTTAGCTACCAGCTCGTATACTTTTACGGTGCGTATAATCTTAAAATTTTTGACAATATTGTACCACGACAACTACCTTAAACTTTCTGATTGTTGTAAAAATAAAGTAATAATTTGGTTATTTTAACAACCATCAGAAAGTTCAAGTGCTTATTAATTAATTAATTTTAAGTTTAGGCAGTGCCGTAGCTACAATGGTTCCGTGGGTTCGGTGGAACCAGGCCCCCAAGCTCAAGGGGCCCGCGGCCAGCGATTGGAATAACAATTTTTTTTCAAATATTTGGATTAATTTTTTAAAAATATATTTCAACATTTACAGGGCATTTATTTATAATAATGGCTTAAGGCTTAGTAAATAGTAAAAGACCACCAATAATAATAATAATAATAATAATAACAATAATTTTTGCTTGAATCATGTAAAAGCGAGTCAAAATTAAAACTTAAAAAACTATCAACAACCCGTTGGTCTTCACGCAATGATGCAATAAAGCCCTACGTTTTAGGTAACTTCATGTTCTTAAGGCCTTGTCAAAAATTATTTTAACATCCAATAATAAGGCTGAAATAGACGAATCGAAAGGATTTTAAAGTACATTAGAGGACTTTGAAACAGTGTTTTTGATTATTTTACAATCTAACATTTTAAATCGACAAAATCAGTAGCAAGATATCCAAAAATCTAGTAAACTTTTAAAAAATGTGTTAAATGACATAAGCAAACTTCGGAATGAATTTTTAGATATAAAAAAGAGGCCGATATTACATCAAGTAAATGGGGTATAATTCCAGAACTTTGCCAAAAACGTATTCGTAAACGTTTTTTTGATGAAGTTGCAAATGACTTGACTCTTTAAACTGCTGAAGATACTTTTAGTACCGCCCTCGGTGGTGTAGTAGTTAGCGCTGCGGACTACAAGCCGAGAGGTCGTGGGTTCGAATCCCACCAGGGGTAACTTGCGTCTATATCCCAAACCTATTCCCTGTCAAATGCGTTCCGTAGTTTGTCACTGTCAAGTGTTTCTTTAACAAATTTCAAAGTAAAAAGTTATGCAGGTACTGTCTGTCCACTCTAAGTTGGCGGAACTAAGGAATTTTGTAGTTTAGATATTAAAGAATTGTCGTACTGTGTGCTTTTAAAACAGATTTTATATTATAAATAATACTAGTACATATTATATACTAGTATTATTTATAATATAAAATCTGTTTTAAAAGCACACAGTACGACAATTCTTTAATATATAAACAACAAAATTCCTTAGTTCAGCCAACTTAGAGTGGACAGACAGTACACTGCATTGTGCCATACCAAACCAACCCAAACTTAACAACCCAACCCAACCGACCCCGCCCCATTGGGCCCCTCCCGCCCCATTGAGCAATAGAGGTATTACCGTATTATATATCTAAGGGCAGGCTGGATTGTTACAATGGGGCGGGAGGGGCCCAATGAGGCGGGGTCGGTTGGGTTGGGTTGTTAAGTTTGGGTTAGTTTGGTATGGCACAATGCAGTGTACCTGCATAACCAAATGACAGGGAATATATCCCAAACCTATAGGTTTGGGATATAGACGCAAGTCTATGGCTGTTTATTTAAATAGCCACTAACTTCAGTATTTTGGAAACAGAAGTTCTGTTAAATTCTACTGATACAGAAGTAGGTATACCAAATGGCGGAAAACATTCCTGAAATATATGAAGATGATATTTTAGACTTCCCTATCAATTAATGGCTTTTCAAAAATGTTTTTCTATGAAACAACAGGGGAAACTGTCAAATGTCACATTTTTAGATTTTATAAACACAATTATAAAGGTTATAAATCGAAATGTATTTCACAGTGAAAGTAAAGAAAATGTTTTATGAGGACTTTACAGTAGAGTCCGTGCCCGAATTTAAGTTATAGTTTACTGACGGCGAAATTAAAAGGTCAGTACAATGTTCATAGAAACTTTTCAAATATTGGCGTTGAGAAACTATTTAATATTTTTGTATTTTTGTATTGAGATAATAAAATAATTTTCACATTAAGTATTATTTTACAAGAAAGTCACTTTATTTTAACGATTGTATGACATTTGACAACTGCCAACTAACTTAAAACTAACTTCAGCCCGTGACTAAAAACCTGTTGCTAACTTCAGCCCGTGACTAAAGCGCCGTAAAGGCACAACTTGTCAATGTGTATTTAAAAGGTCACTTAGTGTCATGGAAACATGTACGATAAAGGGCGTTTTAAAGGTGGGAGTAGAAAAAAAATTAATTAGTACAAAAAAAAACACCTAGAGGCCCGTGGGTATAGCCTGGAACCCGGGCCCGTTGGGTTGTTGCTACGGCGCTGAGTTTAGGGTAGTACTGTCATAATTTTTATATTATATTTTTATAATTGCCTTTAAAGATAAAATGCCTACAATAAATGTTTTGCTAAATAACACCATGCAAAGATGATTAAATTTCAACAATGCTGCTTATGCAATCTTTTAACTCTGATATTGAAAGGTTTCAATGGCCTCGAACTACAAGACCTTGGTATGTGCGATTTTTTAAAATATTTAAAAAAAATATTTCTAATTTAATTGTTTTCTTTAACAGAAGAAAAAAACAGGTTTGCATGCACCTTGCAAGGTTTAAAAAAAAGTGTATTTACCTGCTGGGGGCCTTTCCTTAGGATAACATACCCTGAAGAGACCTTTAGTCCTTGTGAAATAATAATATTTAGAATTTACACTATCTAAAAGTGCTTGGCTTTGAACATCTGAATGTCTGCTGAGGTAGTTCTGCAAAAAATAAAATATAATACAATTATTAATTAATTTGCATTAAGAAATAACATTTAATAGATAAATATAATGTATGATTATTATTGGTTTTAATGGGTAAAACAGATGTTAATAAGAAATAATTAATAAACTTTCTTGGTTACCATTTTCACTGTATAGTTTATAAACTGGTTGCAATAAATAAAAAAATGTTTTAACGTTTCATTAGTTTGTGTGACACTTTTGATATAGTAAAGTAAATAAATATAGGTACATCTCGTGTTGCCTTTTGTAAAATTTTCTTAAATCTGCCCTGTATAAAAAAAATAATGACACTCTTGCAGAACAGATGAGCATTCCTAATATTAAGCAATATTTAGTTTCTTTACAAAATCGTAATTGAATTGTGAAAAATCATCGATCAAAAATTCTAAATAATGATGCTAGTTCTCAATACTATTATTGACTTGCAATAAAGGTAAATGTAATTTTAATCATAACTAATAATTATCTTATTGCATCGACTAGGCTACATCTGGCCTCTTTGATGGAAAATCATGAGATCTTTGAGATCTTAGAGATTTTTGTTGGATTAATAAAAAATGTAAATTTAAATAGGTATATAAAATTTTAAATAATTTAAATTATTTGCCATACACTAACAACATTTTTAATACATTTGACCTTATATTGATTGGTGCTTTTTCCTGTTAATTACTGTTAATAATGGCAAACAGAACAATTTAATTACTTATTATACATTCATTAAAAAATTCATCAAAATACAATAAAAATTATTTATATTATAAAAATAAAAATTCGTAATTTTACCCGTCAATAAGTATTATTATGACCCAATACTTATTATCATTTTGGGTCATAATAATACTTATTGAGTTCTACAGTTGGTGTACCAACCCAATTAGTATAATAGTATAATTTAACTATTAGAACTTATTGGGCATAAAACTTGCAAGTAAAATATTTGTTTTTTTATTGTCAATTAAAAATCTTAAGATAACCCAAGTTACAGTTAAAAAGTAGGTTATTTTAGAAGTTACACAACGTTATATTTAAAGTACATCTAGAAGCCTTAAAGCGTGTACCTATTTTAAAAATGAAATGTACTATATCGACATAAAGGGATTTTTCCTCTAGTATTTCACCCCAACCTATGAAGTTGGAGCAGCGTCGTATGTTAAGTTTTTAAGGTGTTAAGTTTTTGTGAATATTAGGAAGCACAGAGAGGTTAGCGTATTTCTGTATTGGTTACCTGGTTTAAATTTCAATACATTCCTAACTTCAAACTCCAAAAGGATAGATGCCCGTTTTATTATTTTTATTAACGGATAGATGCATCTTGGGTAAAATATTGCTTTTTAGTTGCTTTTAGTTAACTTAATTATTTCTTCAAAAAATATGCTATTCTTCAAGCGCTTGAGAATGAATGAATGAGTTAAGTGCCACCTGTCATTGGACGCTTTTCACTGGAAAACAAAGGAGGTCAAACAAGAGGGGAGGTGGCCATCTTCAAAAAAAAATTGATAAGTTACCTTAAGAATATGCATGACCTAATACAAAATCTGCAATTTAAATACGGCAGATAACTTTAAAACCTAAGAAAGGCACACGGCGTAGGGCAATAAATCTGTCAACAACAAATGCGTAATGCAATCCCAAACTAAACCGAAAATAAACACTAGACTCACAGAATAAACTAACACATTAATCATTATAACCCAAACACAGTAAAAAAAAGCCTAATACCAAACTCTACTAGATTTGTAAACATTAGATAACAGAATAATTGCGCTTGTCATTTGTTTAACTAATAAATAAATGCAATACTTAATTTTGGAATTTAAGAAAAAAAGACAAAACTCTACCACAAAACGTGCTTGGGGCAAAATTTATTAAAAACAACTGACACACTTTACCAAGTGCAGGAACTATCTGACCATGGACACGGACAATGACAATAACGAACAAGACAAAGACCTCGACTAGGAAACTACAACCCGCAGCGAAATAACAACTCCCCAACTCCAAATAGTAATCCCAAATGTTTGGAGTAATACTAATCGACTGGTGTAGGGGGATTCCGCGTCGTACTTAGTTTTAAGTCGGCGTAATTGTCCCCCAAAAACCAACACCCTCCCGTCCCTCCTCCTATATCCTACTGGGCGTATAGCATCGGCTCGGCAAACCCGAGAATGGCTATTAAAACTATTCGCATCTCGCTCTCGAGCCCCAAATAGGGGACAGTACGGAACGCAATGGACATTCGCATCCAGCAAACACGGGTGAAGCCGTGCAGTTGCTGGGGGCGAACAAAAATCGGCGTAAGTAAACACAGGTCTGTACGGGGTCCGAGAGTGATGATGAAATGGGGCTGGTTATACGTCTCTTATACTCATACTCATTCTTCCAAGAGCAACTTGGAGCAAAGAGGACTTAAAACAAGCTGCCGAAGCTGTTGAAACAAATATTTTAACTGTGTACCAAGCCGCAAAAAAATTTGACATTTTTGCTCGAACATTGCGGAGAAGCATTGATTTAAAAAAACATGGTCTCGAAAAAGCACCGGTCTTGGGATATAAAAATGACGAGAAGTGGGTTAAGCATATACAAAGCATAGAAAAAGCTGGATTTCCATGCACTCATATGAACGTTCGTAAAATGGCTTACCAGATGGATATGTATCACATAATATTAATTAAAATTAGTAGAAAAATAATGGTTGTAAACTTTTTTAGAGAGAAACCAACATTTAAGAATAAGGCAAGCAGAAGGAATGTGTCGTGCTAGAGCTATGGGATTTAATAAAGAAGAAATTAACGGATTTTTTTAACTTTTAAAGAAGACTTTAGAGGAAAATGATCTGTTTGACAAGCCAGACAGAATATTTAACATAGACGAAAGTAGAGTACAGTTAAATAATAAACCTCAAAAATTTGTAGCTACCGAAGGTAGCAAACTAGTACAGCAAATTATATCAAGTAAGAAAGGAGAAACAGTATTGCTTGTTGCAACATAGTCCAGTCAAACCGTCGCGACGGTCAAAGGTCAAACGACGCGTCGTTTGACCTTGTCTGTTTTGTCTGTTTTTTTTTCATAAATTGATATGGGCTTATTTAAAAAGCATAAAACCATAAAACCACATTGCTGACAATTTTTTTTTACAAATGTATACTCAAAAATACATTCTTTCAGTTTTTAGGGAATATCTCGGCCCTCGTATATTGCACAATAAAAAGTAAAAAAACAAAATTATTTTTTATAAAATTTTCAATAATTTTTGTTCGAAGTATTTTTTAGTTTAACAAATGAGTAAAAAAATATAGTTATTTAAAATTAATTATTTGTTTTTATTTTGTTTTTTTGGCAAATAGGTATGATAAATTAATATGATTAATATTTTAATATGTAACTAATCAAAATAACAAAACGAAGAAAATATAAATCAGGAAGACACTCAAGAAGCAAATTAAAATGTAACTGAGCAATATACAATAGAACCAAAGGAAGAAAACATAAATCACGAAGACTTTGATCCTATTTCCTCCACCAGACAAGAAGAAAGTCCCCCAAAAATTTTAACAGCAGTTTCTATATAATACTAGGAAAGAAATAAATAAAAAACGAGATAAAAAAGGCCTCAAAAAAGCAGAAGAAAAAAATCCCAATTACAACTTTCAAATATTTCATCCGACCAAGAAGACACAATATGATGTGAATGTGAAGAAAAGTAAGTCTATAGACTACACTATTGTGTTGACTGGATACAATACGTATCCTATAAAAGTTGTTGCACGAATACTATATAGATTATGGCGATTACTTCAAGTAATTTACTTTTAAAATGTATAAAAGTATTTATATTGATTTACTGTTTTTTTCTTAGATAAAACAGAAAATACAATTCAACAAAATAAGGGGAAATTGTCAAAATATAAAACAAATAAAAAAACCTTGAATAATCGTAAAAAAAAATAAAATTAATTATAAAATTAAATGGTAATTAAAAAATAATTTTTAATTATGGTTTAAAATAGATTTTATAAAAATAATACTAAATATAAAGAATCTTTGAATTTTAAATTTTACACGGTTTCGTAAAAATTAGAAAAATAAATTCATGACATGAACATATGAAGAAATAAAAAAATTTAAGACATAAAATACTTGTCGTTTAACGAAACCCACTGAAAAAATATATTATTTGCAATTTAATTAAATTAAATTTAAACTTAACGAGCAAATTAATAAACAAACCTCTGTTATTCTTACAAAACGAAATTCCATCACATTATTATTAATGTTTTATTTATTCGTAAAATCCTATTAGCACAAATTAAACAAAACACATTCATGAAATTGTGGGACACTGATGCGTTTTGTTACAGGAAATGAAAGCAAAAGATGTTTAAACCGGACCGGACCTACTTATTGGACAAAATTATTCTTAACAAAGTTGAATTCGGGTCACGTTCGTGTCAAAATTACATCTTTGGACATACTAGCACTTTTACTAAAACAATGCATGTTAATACCTAATGGATTCTACGCTTAGATCTAGATCTATAGAATGTATTTATTTATTTATTTTAAATTATGGGACATCTAAAGCAGTCTTACTCAGACTGATGCCAAAAATTAAATTAATTACAGCATAAAATAATATAAAATGTATATTATTTTAATTTATATTACAAAATTGTATAGGTAGAGTTTTAGTTTTTATAAATTAATTGTTAAATATTGGCGTAACCACTAAATTAATTAGGCTAATATTTTAATTTTAAATTATTTAATGCTTTAAAATTATGCATATATGAAGGTATTCCTAGCGTAGCATGGTGTGTAATTTTAAAATTCATAAATAATTTATTTTTAAACGCCCAAATTTGGCTTCGTTGACTAAATTTATTGTAAATATTTTCCCATAAAGAATTAATAAACATTGACCCTCTTTGCAAGGAATAAAGGTCAAGTGAAAAATTGGATATTTATCTATC